CCACTTCAAATAGCATTTATGTCAGCAAGACCCCATTTTGTTTGATGTGCAGCTCAGATCACCTTCCCGACCTTGACTGATAAATCCCGCGCGACATCTCCACTTGGGTTTCTAATAGACACCGTAAGCCCAGCATGTCAAAGACAGCTCCTGCTCTTCCCCCGGACCTGCTCCGCTTGCATTCTCCTCCCTCTTGGCTGATGGCACCTTTGTCCTGCTAGTTTACTCAGACCCGAAGCTTTGGTCTCCTTTCCTCTCTGTCAGGAAATCCCTTTGGTTCTATCGCAAACTCTGCAGGACACACCCCTGTGTCTCACCTTCGTGGTGCCGCCCGGTCTGGATTGGAGCGCTCCCCACTCTTGCCTCCCTGTTATTTCCACACATGGCATCAAACAAAGCTTCCCGAACATTTTCCAAAGTCTCTCCCTTTCACTCAGCAAAAGCGAAAGCGTCTGTGAGGTCCTACGTTATATGGCCCCCTGATACCTCTAGAACCTCACCTCCTGCGACTCTCCCTGACTTTCCTTCTACCCCAGCCCCCCAGGCACGCATCTTCCGAGCGCCTTTGCACTGGCTGTTCTTACGCATGAGTTGATCTTCCCCAAGACAGCCTGTGGCCAGCGCCCTCTCCTCCTTAGGGCCTTTGATCAAATACCTCCTCAGTGAGCCCTTCCGTGCAGCCTGCCCCTCACCCTCCGTAGTGTACCATACACTGCAGAATGGAAAATCCACAAGGGTGGAGGTTGTCGTCTGTTTTGTTGCCTGACACATAATAAACACCCAGTATGTATTTGTTGAATGCTATGAATGAATGCTTAGCCTTACGTTAAGCTGAAATGTTCCTTTTCCCACAGTAAAAAAAGCCAGTATCGGAGAATTACTGCTCATAGGATCTAGAGAGAAAGGAAGACCTAGGAGGTGTCACTTAATAGAAAACGGCTGTCAAGAGCCTTAAACCCAAGAAATACCCAACTGCAAAACTTCCTCTGACCACGCAGAGTAGAACCTGCACGCTTGTCGTGCGTTTAGTTCCTTCCGAGGAAACCTTACCTACTCTTACGTTCTGGAATTTGTTTGCCTACGAAATCAGGTTCCTTTTTGTTTTTCAGATTCCAGTCATGTTCTCTCACCATGCACCTTGCTAGGCTGAAGCTTCAGTTGTGTTCTCAAGTCATTTGTGTTGTTTTTAACACCTTACAGAGGCTCTTGAATAATCGTGAGCACACTAATAGCACACCGCATACGGACACACCATGGTTTGGCTGGTCAGGGTGAAGCCTCCGTTTCTCACTTCCAAAGTCCTTTCTGCTGATGTTCAGCAGTTGATTGACGCTTTGGGCCTAAACAGGACATTGCAACACAAGCACGTGACCCCACTCTTTGCTGAAAGCTTTCATGCCTTGGCATGTTTGACCACCCATCACTGTTGATGCTCACATTATTCTTCCTTCATTTTTCACCCTCTTGGTGCTTCACCTGTATGTCAGATGGTTTACTTTCCTGCTTGCCATAAGGGACTGTATCTTCCCTGTACTTAATCTTTTTAGCTTATGTAATGCTTTTCATTGATATCAAGTTGTTCCTCTTACATGTCTGCATGTTGTGATCATTTCTTAGAAATTTAGGAACTGATGGATCCTTTTAAGTTTTGGTTTTCCCTTCTCCAACCAGATACTAACCTCAGGGCTGGGGTTACAGTTCCTAATTTCTAGCCCTTCAGCCATTTGCTGGACATCTCAGTTTCCCCCTCTTCCTCATGAATATCCTGCAGGCGTGAGCTCCTTGCTCTCTTCCCCACTTTGAATAAGAGCACTTCCCCTTGTGTCACGTGGCCTGAACCTATTCTTCCAAATGTTTAAAACCCTTTGGTTCTTCTCTTGGGCACTGACCGTAACTGAGGAGCAGCTTAGGCCTTTTGGGTTGCCCAGGACAGCTGGGGGTGCACACACGCAGCCCTGCATCGCCCACCGTGCATCTGCTCCTCTGCATCAGCTCTCAAAGTTCTAAGCTTATCTTCTATATTTCTGAGCACCTCAATTACCAACTCCAGATTGATTCTAGTAGACTTTTATTCATGAAGTACAGTGGCGCTCTCCAAGCCCCAAATTGTCTCCGTTGGTGGCAGATTAACGAGGTCAGCCTAGAAGTGGGAGGAGCCTGTGTCTGAATATTCCTTTTGCGTCTCCTCTCTAGGCATTTCTCCTCAGATGGAGGTCACGTGTGTGCCTGCTCCCACAAGCACAGTGTCCTCCATAGGCAACACAAATGGAGAAGAGGTGGGACCATCTGTCTACCTGGAAAGACTAAAAATCCTCCGGCAGCGATGTGGACTGGACAATACAAAGGTACTGTTCCCTTCCTTCTATGTGGGTCAGGGACAGGCTGGCCCAGAGAAGCGGCCCAGCCTTGGTAGATGGTGTTCCAGGGCTACCTCTCGACCTTACGCAGTGTTGTCTCTTCTCTCAACAGCAGGATGACCGACCTCCATTGACCTCTCTGCTCTCCAAACCCGCTGTTCCTGCCGTTGCCTCCTCCACGGACATGCTGCACAGCAAACTCTCCCAGCTCCGGGAGTCGCGGGAGCAACACCAGCATTCAGACCTGGATTCTAACCAGACTCACTCGTCGGGAACCATGACCACGTCCTCCTCCTCCACAGCTAACATTGATGACTTGAAAAAAAGACTGGAGAGAATAAAGAGCAGTCGCAAATGAAGCTGCCCCGCCCTGGCCCCCGCAGCTTTAGTTACTAAACTAGAGTCCTCGCAGTTTACAGGGCCTCGGTGGGCCTGCTGCACACAAACTGGCCGTCTGTGTCCACCGTGGGCCTGGGAGGAGTCGTGGCACAAGTGTTGTACATACTCTGCTTCTCCGTCAGCTCCTGCCTCTAGAAGACTGTCCGTGTATTAGTTTAGTGTACAGACTTGTAAACAGCTGCCCTCCGCTCAACTCAGACTAGTTTCCATATCCTTTTTCTTTTTACTTGCTCCTTTGTAAAGTTGTCTTAATCTCTCCTAGCTTTTAACTATTAGGGGCCCTCTAACAGTTCTCCTTTGAGTTTGTGAGCTCTTCTCCCTGTAACCCTGAAGGGCCGCTGTGTTCTGTACGAGTGCATGGCATGATACAACTAATTTAAGAGTCTTTTATAAATAAAGTTTGCATTAACTATACCTGTCTCCCAAGGTACTCCATATCAAGTGACCTTTCTGTCACCTGTTCTAGGGACCAGCTGGGTATTAGGCGGATTAGAGAAAGAGTAAAACGACGTGCCGAAGGAGCTCCACCTTGTTTTGGCTCAGAAGGAGCGCTGCCTTTGCTGTTTTGGGACAGAAGGAACTCACCTGTCCTCTCCACCTGCAGCTCCTAGTGGAGCAGGGAAAAAACCTCACTCCTCCCTGTTCTGAGGTCCGGCCATGGCTCCCCTGCCTTCGTTGATATGGTTCCAAGGATCCCGTAGGCTTCCTGCCTCCTTGCTGCCCAAATGCACATGAGATGGTGCCCGGGATCGGCTGGAGGACAGTGGTTCTCACGTGCGCCTGGGTTCGGGTCGTTAGACTAGAGGCATCCGGGAGAGCTTGGTGAAGGGCTCCACTTCTGCACTGATGGTCGCTGCCCGCTCAGTGTGAGCAAGGCGCCGCCTCTGGAGTGGACGCCACGGGGCCTCCCTCCACAGTCAGACACAGTCCTAAGTACGCACAGGTTCTGGATTCAGATGGGGGACTTTTTAGCCAATCATCAAGTTTAAAGGAAATTTCTAGACTCCCTTTTGTTCAAGAAATGAAAGGTTGATGGAAAACGAGTTCTTTCTTGATTCCAGTCATGATTTTCAGGGGGCCCCTACGCTGCCTGAAGCGGAACCTGCCTCCCCCCTAGAATGGGAACATGGGAGTAGGCGTTCGCTGAAGGGAAGCGGGGAGGGGTCACTGCTCTAGCAGAAGAGCATATTTAGGAAGAACAGCTGTGCTGGGGTCTGAAATTAGCTGACTTGGAAAAACCAGACTGCCCAGAGCTCACAATGCTTACAGCTCTGTCACAAGGGAGGCAGTCTTGTGAGAAGGTGCTGCCTTGTTTAAAAACTAGATTTGGGGTATTATAATTCTTAATCCCTCCTCCCTGCTCTGGTTAAAGCTCTAGGCTGTGAACATCTGCAAGCTCACTGAATTCCCAGTTTTTTCTCTGCTTTCTGGTCAACCAGATCCAGAGAATGAGGACAAGGAACTCAGTCCTAAGTCTCAGTTTTCATACACCTCTGATGTATTAAAAATGGGAAAGGGGCCTTGGCTGGTGTGGCTCAGTGGATTGAGCACCAGCCTGCAATCCAAAAGGTCGCTGGTTCAATTCCCAGTCAGGGCACATGCCGGGGTTGCAGGCTGGGTCCCCAGCTGGGGGTTTGTGAGAGGCAACCGATCAATGTATCTGTCTCACACATTGGTATTTCTCCCTCTCTTTCTCCCTCTCTTTCTCCCTCCCTTCCCCTTCTCTAAAAGTAAATAAGACCTTTAAAAAAAATGGGAAAAAAGGAGGGGAGGGAGAGTAAAGTTACCTTCCTTAGGTCTGGTTCCTTTTAAACCACAAAGTCTAAAGACCTCAGCTGAAGGTCCTGGACCAAGACGGCAGCCATGCGGCACCCATGCTTACTCCCCTGCCCGGCGCCTGCGACGGGCATCCCGGCTTCACACTTCCCCTCTGAGCTCAGGGGTGACCCCTCTCAACACAACCCTCCCAACAGTCACCAATTGATTAGCATGTCACACCAGGTGAAAATCGCTGTCACCCATACCTGTCACAGGCTATAGTGCCTAGTTCCCCGAGTAATATACATGCACCCCTCAGGAATAGCAATAGGCATGGACAGATAAATTAGGTGAAAATAAATAAGGATCTAAGTGACCTAAATAACAAGGGAAACGGCGCACCTTATGAATATATCTCCCTTCTCATCCAGCAGTGGTACCACCTCCGCCTAAGTGGCCCATGAACAGCTCGGGGAGCGTTGAGGCTCACAGATAGTCACTTTTATTGAGAGCTGTAGTTTTAGGAACAAACCACAAAAATAACTCGTCCCCTGGGTTGGTTTCTGTGACCTTACAATGAGGAGCCTAGGATGCGGGTGGCCCCCTAACTTCCCGACCGATCAATGACCTTCTGTATCCACTTCTTCAGGCGGAACACGTGTGTGTAGAAGCCATATTTTCCATCCCTGTCACAGCCTTCGCCCCACGAGACGATGCCCATTTGATACCAGCGGTGATTAAAGGGGCTCTGAGGAAGAAACACGGGGTTTCCCACAGTCAGGTCCAAGGCGGTGTCAGCATCACCCTATCAGGCAACTGCTTCTGAACTCTGGGGTCCCTCCTTACCCACCCCCAAGAACATCTACCCACCAGCTCTGGTCTTTAGAAAAGCTAGCTTACCTTCATGACAAAGGGTCCCCCACTGTCACCTTCACAAGCATCCCCTCGTTTCCCTTCACTGGGCTTGTAACCTTGAGAGAGAACAGCAGTGCTCAGGGGCGGGGCTCACACGCCAGCCCCTTCAAGAGACGGACCAGGCAAGTGTTCACTCGACTCCTCTGGCCCCCGACTCTCCTCTCCATGCCCCCCACACCAATTCTTTTGCAAACCTTGTCAGCTCCCCTCTCAACATATGTCCCAAATCCAGCCCCTTCCCCTGGTCACATCACGTGCACTTCTACCTGGAACTAATTCTGCTTTTGCCCCAGCTGCAATCAACTCTCTATCCAACAGGCAGAAGGACTTAACTATGTTAGACTTACAGGTAGCTGAGGACAACGGGGGCTGCTTTTGTCCAAACCTCCCCACGTAGTCTCCACAAACCATGCAGAAGAACATGAACAACAAAAGCTACACCAAAAAACCACACCTTCAATATCCCTAGAATACAGAGAACACCCAAACTTCAAATCAACTTAACATATCTAACTGTATGCCAAATCTTAAAACTTACGTGGAGTTGAGGATGGGAATATACCGACTTAGATTTTTTTTTTAAAAAATCAAGTGCAATTGAGATATAAACCCAATTGAAATATAAACCCTTGTAAATAACCCCAAATCTACAAAATGAATAGATGAAAGAGATCCACACAAAAATACTATGGGGAGACAAAAAAATAAGAAAACACCTCAGCTAACAAAAATTCTCCCCCAAATCAGAACCTGAAACAGAGGAAAACTGGAACTGATTTAATTTCCTTAAGCAAAATTTTGGAACATGACAAAACACCTTGACTCAGAAATTCAAAAATGTAAAATAAATGGACAAAACAATAAGAAAAAATGCAAAACAAACAGTGTTTGAAATAGAACTCAGTCCAAAGAAGAAATTTGAGTCCCTCAAGAAGAATAATGAAAGAATGAAAAAGAACTAATATTTACAATACCCAACAAAACTTCAAAGAAATACAAGAAGACTGAACGCAGAGGCTGAAAAGGCCCCTGGGCACCCGGCACGCCAACCCGAAGTGCTGAGCTCTAAGACATGTCCTAGCAAAACTGTTCGACTGCAAAGACAAAGGGAAACCATCAAGGCCTCCAACTAGAAAAACCAAATACTTTACCAGGTCCAAAGAATTACATTGACATCAGACTTCTCAAAAACAACATACAAAGCCAGCAACAATCAAGCTATATTTTCAGAAAATTCAAGGAAGGAAAATGTGAGCCATGGATTTTGCATGCTACCAAGCTGACTGCCAGGTGTCCAGGCTACAGAAAAACAATTGTATAAGAACTCAGGAAATTCTACTACGCTCAAAACTCTTCTTGAGGAATCTACTAGCAGACAAGTTTCATCCAACCGAGATGAATGCTTCAGCAAAAGGTCTAACTATTCTGCAAGTAGGAAAAAAATGCAGCTAAAAATGAGAGAAGAAAAGGGAAAGTAAACTCACTGAGTGTTCGGAGCCAATAGGTGGGGGTTACAATTACAAGATTACAAAAGAAAAGGAACTAAGGGCATTTCGAAAAGGTGTAAGTCCAAAAATAATCAGTAGAACAAAATTGTAACCATCCTAAACATATATATTCTTTTTAAAAGAAAAGATCACATAGGGAAAAACACAGCAAATGAAACATAATACACATAAATATTACAAAATAATGAGCTAATGCTAATTCAATCATATCTATGTATAAATGGACTTATTACAAAAGAAAAAGTTTTTAAATTGACTCACAGAGCAAGACTCAACTATGCTATACATATAACAAACAATGATTCATAAAGGCTAAAATTAAAGAGATGGGCCAATGTATATCAGGCCAGTGGAAACAAAATAAAAAAGGACAGGGATAGTAATCCTAAAATTGAAAACAAAGGAGGACATATTTAAAGCTAAAAAGCCACAATTTACAATGAATAAATAACAGTTATTATCTGCACCAAATAACACAGCAAATACATTTATAAAGTAAAAAAAAAGACTATAAGCAATGCAAGGAGACAAATGCATTAATAATAGAATTTAACACACCAAACTCAGCACAAAACAGAGCAAATGAACTGCAAATAAATAAAGATCTAAATGATCTAAATAACAAGTGACAAGGTACAATTACAACTATATATTAAACAACATGTGCATAAGCAAACACACCTACACACCTCAAACACATATGTAACATTTATAGAAATTAACCCAATGGATGTCTCAGAAGAAATCAGTTCCATAAAGAAGAACTATTACAAACAGTTCTCTCAGATTGTAATGCATCAAAACTCAAAATTTTTAACAAAATCAAAATATAAAAGGCTCCTCCCATCAGGGAATTTAAAAACCACCTATTAAACAATTCTTGGGTGAAAGAAATAGGAACTGAAATTACAGAATTCATAAAAAATTGCCCCTGGCTGGTGTGGCTCAGTGGATTGAGCACCAACCTGCAAACCAAAAGGTCACTGGTTCGATTCCCTGTCAGGGCACATGCCTGGGTTGCAGGGCAGATCTCCAGTTGGGGCTTGTGAGAGGCAATCGATTGATGTATCTCTCACATGTTGATGTTTCTCTCCCTCTCTTACTCCCTCCCTTACCCTATTTTTAAAAATAAATAAATAAAATCTTTATAAATATGCCTTTAAAAACGTTTTTAAAATAACAAATATTACATAGTGTCTTCTATAACGAAGGAAAATATACAGCCCTACTCAGTAAAAATTAAACTTCAAAAATAAAATAACCAGCCCTGACTGGTGTGGCAGTGGATTGAGCACCGGCCTGTGGACCAAAGAAGGTCGCTGGTCTGATTCTCAGTCAGGGCGCAGGCCTGGGTGGCGGGCCAGGTCCCCCACTGGGGCCACGAGAGAGACCACCAGTCACTGTTTCCTCTCACACATCCCATTTCTCTCCCTTCCTTTCTGCCTCTTCCCCTCTCTTTAAAAATAAAGAAATAAAATCCTTTTTAAAATATAAATTAATTAACCAAAGTGTCATCTCAAAAAGTAAGAGAACAAAGTAAACCCAAAAAAGCATAAGAAAAATTTTGAAAAGGTAAAAGCAGAAATTAATGAAAATTGAAAAATAAGCCGAATCAAGAAGTCAAATTCCTAGGTAGCTTTTGTTTATTTTTGCCACCACTAGCTAATTTACTCAATAAAAATATAAATATATAAAATAAGGTACCAAGGAGAAAAAGTCCTAGTACATTGCAGCACCACAGAAAGGCATAACATAGACCTGAACAAATGGGACATTTCTTGTCCTTGGATAAAATGGCTCAACAGCAAAGAGATGCCAGTTCTTTCTAAATTAATTTCTAAATTTAACATAATCCCAATAAAAACACCAACCATCCTTTTTATGAAGCTAGACAAGTTCATACCAAAGTTCACATGAAAAAACAAATAAGCAAGAATTTCCAGGAAAACTCTGGGAAAGAAAAACTATGAGACAAGCCCTACCAGATGTTAAAAAATACTCTAAAGCCGCCAGAATTAAAACAAGACAGCATTTTAATATAATGAACAATAGACCAGGAGAACCAAATAGAATGCCTTCAAATACAAATAGTCTGAAGTACCCATAGAAATCTAGTATGTGATGAAGGCAATTTCAAAGATAGAATTTTTAATAAATGTTGTGGACAGCTGGTAAACCATTTGGAAAAAGATCAATTCGTCCCATACCTTGCATCATACACAGCACGAAGTCCAAATGACTCACAGATCTAAGTGTAGAGAAATGAAACCAAGTACTGGAAGAAAACATGTGAATTTCTCTACCACCTGAGCATAAGAAAGGATTTTCTAACTCTGTTAATAAATATTACTACATAAAAAATTTTGAGTGGCAAAAGTTACAAAGATTAAAAAACGAACAAAGTGGGAGAAAATATTTGCAACATATATCACAAATAAAGGCCTAATATCACTAACAGGTAAAGAACTCTTAAAAATTGGTGGGAAAGGGACAAAAGCGGGCCCCAAAAATGAAAAGATAATTCACAAAAAATGATATAAAAATGGTCATTAAACATATGAAAAGATGTTTAAGTGGAAACACTCTAAATGCCCATGTGCAGGAAATAGTTGAGTAAACTATGGGCACATCCACGTAACAGAGTATAAAACATTTTTAATAGCCACATTAAAGAATGACGAAAAACTCTGTAGCCAATATGGAGTGAATTTCCAGGCTACATAAAGCGAGAGGGAAAAAAAAAAAAAAGCAAAGTACAGGAGATGATCTATAGTCTGCTACCCTATGTGTAAGAAAAGGAAATAAGAAAATACACATGTGTCTGCTCATTTGTGCAAAAGGGAACACAGGAAGAATAAGCCATGAACCACGGAGACAGGCTGCTGCAGGGCCTGGGGAGGTGGGGCAGGAAGGGGGTGGGGCCAGGACAGAGGGGAAGGGTAGTGTCAGATGTCCGAGCACCTGTTTCAAAATCTCTGAGTTTTAGAACCACGTGGATACTCCAAAGGTAAACAACTAAAAACAACAAAGGGGGGAGGGGGACCCCAAATTAAACACAAGTTTAAATAACTAACACAGAGTTTGGGGTGGGGTCGGGGGTAGGGAAGAACGAACCCAAGTTACTTTCGAAAACAGTATTTCTAAGGAGAGAAACAGCTGAAGAGATGCTGAACTCCAGTTAGTAGGACTGTTTGTCACAGCTATGGGCAAATTAGCTCTGAAACTGTGTATTCTAGTATTGATCAAATTAAGTAAATATGTTATGGACGATGGGAGTCAGGTTTCTCACTGTCAACAGAGTTTTCAACGTGGAAAAGTAGAAATTAACTCTAGTGGATTGCAAGGAGAGGCTTCAGTCAGAACTCATGGTTTTAGACAGACAGACAGGCAGACAGACTGCTAGCTAGAAAGAAAAAATAGATATAGATGCTGGTGTGCATAGTACATATTTCTGGTGTTTCCTGCTGAGAGAGCCCAGACACAATGACAACACAGTGGCAACATGCACGCCTACCTCCCAGATCTTGGTGTCTAAATACCAATCTCCACTGGAAGGAAAGGAGGATGACAGTGAGAAGGCTGGCAGAGGCAGATGCCACCTTAACCAAGAGGTCAGAGTTAGTGTCACCAGCTATGAGACATAAGGACATCATGTGCCTACTAATGGGACACACTGAGGACTCAATGTCACGTAGCCTGAATCTGATCACCAGGAAACCTTAGCCAAACCCACTGGAGGGCCAATCTGCAGATTCACCGGCCTGTACTCGACAGGTATGTCAAGGTCATGGAAGACAGAGATGGACAATTAAATACAGTGGAAATCCTGCATTGGATCCCAGATGAGAAATACATTTTTTGTCTTTTGCTATAAGAGACATTGGCAAGTAGGACAGTGGAAAACATTTGAATAGCATCTATGGATGAGACAATGGTATTATATCATTCATTTTCTGATTTAGTAATTATATTGCAGTTATGTAAAAGGACATCCTTGTCTCTGGGAAATACTCAGTTAGATGGGTAAAAAGGCACCCTGTGTACAATTTCCTCTCAAAGAGGGGGTGGCAGAATCTCATTGATGCTATACAGGAATTCTTTGTATTATTTCTGCAACTTTTCTGTAAGTCTGAAATTCCACTAAAATGTAAAACATTTTTAAGTCAAGCTAGACCATTTATTCACCTGTCCCAAACCCTCCAGTGACTTCTTACCACATTAAGCCAGAGCTCTTCCAGGCCCTAAGGGGAGCGCCCACCTCTGCCTGCCCGCCTCCCTCCCCTCACCCACTGCTGTCCTGCCTGTGTTTACTTCTGAACTCCAGCCACTCAGGCCTCCCTGCCTGTCCTCAGACACACCACGCACGCCTCCGCCTCGGGGCCTTTGCGCCTGCTGCCCCCCCAGCCTGCAGGGCACCTCCCCCGGACTGGCTCACTCCTTCACTGCTTCCAGCCTCTGCTCAGATGCTACCCCCAAGAGGGCTCCCCTAGCCTTCTGCCACCTCTCTGTTTAGAAGAGCGGCCTGACCTATCTCTCTCCCCCTTACTTTACCCTGCTCCTTTTTTCTTCCTAGCAGGGGCTGCTACTCTAGGCCTGTTGCCAGACACTCGCTCCTTCTAGGGAAGAAACTCCTTAAGACACAGGCATTGTCTGTTTGAGTCCTTGTTGTGCACCCTGGATACCGCGTGGGTCGCAGCGGGCGGAGAGGTATGTGCTGAAGGGCTGAGCAAGTGAATGGCTTTTTCTCCCCCCTCTGGTGGGTTCTTGCTGCTCTCTGGGCTCACACATACTGACAACTTAACCAGGCAGCGGCAGCACGCCTAAGGCTCTGTGCACACCCACTGAACCAAGCTTCATGCAACCTTCTGGCAGAGAGGCTTTGATCTCCATTTTATAGGGGAAGAAACTGAGCACCCAAGAAGCTAAGCGACTTTGCCAAAAGTTATACAGCTTGTCAATGACTGGAGCCAGGACTTGAACAGGCCTGTGCTCTGAATGCGTCTCACTCCCCCACGCCTAGGACTCTGATGTTCCCTCCCGCCCAGCCACCCCCAGGGACTTGCCAGCGCAGAACATGTTGTCGGTGATGCGGATGCGGGTGGAGGCCTTGCAGACGGGACGCTCCACGATGGGCACGTTCACCACCTGCAGGACGTCCGGCTGCACCTCGGAGGGGCTGGCAGTCCACATCTCCTTCAGGTTCCCCCAGCCAGTCACCCGCCCTTTGCTTCCAGCCTGGATCAGCCTTTGGGGACGGGAGACAGACCTGGTGAGAGCAAACCCCTCCGGGAGCCTCTGGCCCCAACACCGTCCCTGAGACGAATCTCAAATGCCAGTGCGGAAACTGAGGCCTGGGAAAGGGAAGGACCGCCTGCGAGGCCGGCTTCTCAGCCCCCTGGCTGCCGACCTGGATGCCGTCTGCTTGTCGGGCAGGCACACGGGGTGGATGTGGTTGCTGAAGGTGATGGGCTTCCTGAGCTTCAGCAGGGCAATGTCGCGGTCCAGGGTGTCCCTCCAGTTGTACCTGGGGTGGATGTAGATCTTTTCCAGCATGGAGATCTTTTCGATGCCTCGCTCATACCTGCGCAGACCCCAGCAGAGAAATGGAGAAGCCATAAGCCACTCAGTAAAAGGCCGCGGTTCCCTGAGGAAGGAAACTGCCTGCCCTCAGGTCTGGGAGCCGGGCGACCAGCAGTCCATTAGCAAGGTGACAGTTGGCAGCTCCCTGGTCGCTTCTTCCTGGACTGAGGCTGCACAGGGCTTGGCTGTCGAACAGCCTCTGCAGGTAGGGGAGCGGAGCAGGCTGTAGGCTCTGGTCCAGTGAGCCTCTTTCCGGAAGTCACCCCTGGGCTGTGCCCCAGTGTCTGCCGGGGAGCTAAGGGCAGGCCGGGGTTTCGCTCTCTGCAAAGTCGCAGTTTCTCTGACTCCAGCTCCAAGCCCAGGTCAGGGCGTGGCCACACGGACTCTGCAGCAGAGGCTGCTGGGTTTTCCACTGTGAGAGATGTACAGACGTGGCTCACGCGCCCCAGAGCACGGGAGCCCCACACCGTCCCTCCAGGGGGCTGAGACCCCCGCCAGACACCCCTGGGCCCCCAGTTCTGTACCTGGTGCGGGAGTGCTTGCCAATGCGCACCAGAAGGTCATTCTCAGTGAAGTTCTTGTCCCAAGGTGGGTACAGGAGACAGTGCGCAGCAGTGAGGACCCAGCGGTCACTGATGAGGCTGGCTCCACACAGCAGCTCCTGGGGACTCTTCCGGAAAAGCATCACCTGCCTGGGGGGAGAACAAGAAGCGTTGGAGTGGGGGCGCTGCCCCCCACCAGCCCTAGCAGCAGAAAGGCCCATTTTAAAGAACTCACTGGACAGGACTGTCTGCTGGGCCCAGGCCTCAGCCTGACCTGGCCACTTTCAGCGACCCGGGCCCCCTGCGTGTCCACCCCTCCCCAGCTTTTTCTAATCCAGAGTAGCACTGTGTAACCCACCTCTGGGGTCCAGTCCACAGCAGGACTGGACCCCAGCTCTACTGACCCCGGAGCTGTCCATCGGCAGTGCCACTCACACTCCCTGGCCTCGGCTATGCCTTCGGCGTATGAGAAGTAACAAACCCAATCTCAAAAGGCTGCTGCGAGGCTCGAGGAGGTGCTGGAGCTGGGCTCTCATCATCGGTGAGCCCAGGCCTGTGAGGGGAGAGAAGTCTCTCGGGGCTGGGGGCTGGCTGGGGGCTCCAGCCAGAGTGAAGGGAGTGGGGGTCAGGGACCCACCAGGGTGCCAGGCCTATCTCTGCGTCCCAACCATGCACGATGCGCCCAGGGATGTAGGACTCTAGAAGCTCTGCCTCCGTTTTGTCCTCCTTCGACATCTTCTCGAACAGCGGCCGCAGCCCACAGTCTGTAGAGCAAGCCGGCGGTGAGGGACCGGGCGGAGCGCAGGCCAGGCCAGGCCAGGCCTCGCGGCCTCGCGCCACCTGCCGGTCACCTCACCTGCCTCCCCAGCGCCGAAGGTCCTCTCATTGAAAAAGGGCTGGAACTCCTCAACAGTGGTGCGTCCCTGGATGGCCACGTCCGAGTCCAGCCCATCATCTGTCACCTCTTCCACGGGCTCCTCTGCAGGGACCCACGCAGCAGCTGCGACAGGACCCGACCGCCTCTCACCCACCCGCAGACCCCCCTAAGCCTCGGGCCGGCCTCGCCGACGGTCTGTGTAGAGGCTAAGAGCGCAGGCGCGCCTGGGTTACTAGGCACCTTCTTAACCTCGGAGCTTTACAGTACTCAGCTGTGAAGTAGGGGCGGACCCTTCCCACCTGGGTGATGGAGGGCCGGAAGGAGCACGCACTCGCTCACGCACGAGGGAACCTTAGACTAGGGCAGGCTGTTCCGGTTAGTCCCTCCAGGCTCTGGGCCGGACTCGGCCGCGGCCCTGGCCTCTCACCACAATAGTCCAGGTCGCAGTACTCGAAGCTGCCAGGCTTCCCGCTGACGTAGCACCATGCGCCCTCCTCGTCCCCGTCTAGGTTGCGACAGAAGTTCTCCACCAGCGGCACCGCCGCCATGCTGGAGTCCAGGTTCTTGCTCAGGGCCTTGACCTGCTCGTTGGCCCAGGCCAGGCAGGGGGACCCTTGTGAGGTCACCGCCAGGCGACCCTCGTAATACCGGCCACGCTCAGGGACACACTGGTCTGATGGAAGTGACAGCTTCACTGAGGAGTCTTGGGAGCGTGGCATCAGCTCCACAGTGACCTCCCCTTTGCCTGGTGGGTGAGGAGGCAAAGGAGCAGAGTGGGTGGGACCACACGTGGAGCCAGTCAGGATCTGAATCCCTGCCTTGCGGTGAGGTAGCCACCTGTCTGTGCTTCAGTTTTTTGCCTGGGGAAGGGGTCACTGATGCTGTTCTTGCAGGCTTGTTGAGAGGTTTAAACGAAACGAACGCCGTTGATGTCTGGTGCCTCATAAACCAGAGACTGTAACCGGGTCTCACCTCCTGTAACCCATTAGGGGTTGTCTGTAATCTGCTGGTAGTGGCTGCCTGGAGCTTTTAAGGAAGTGCTCCGTGTTTTCACAGGGGCACAGAGGGAAATACAGCTGGGATGACTAAGGATCTCTACGTGGGGCAGTAGCTCAGTTTTCAGCATGCTCTCTCCAGCTCTTGACCTTGACCCTGTGGTTCCTCTGGCCAATGGGCCGTGGGCAGAACCAACTTCCAGTTCTAAGCCTAGGCCTGAAGACACATTGTGCAGTTCTGCTCCCTGGTTTGCATGCCGGCCACCGCCATGGGAGGATGGCGCCTTTCGGCCACGGTCCCAGGGTGAGCATGTGCGGAGCAGACCTGGACCCAGCCTGGCTACATCATGGACCCCACACACAGGTGAACGGAGCCACCCCAGCTGTTGAGAAATAAGTGGGGTTTTTTGTGTTGTTTTTTTTATGTATGCTCCTGAGCTTGTGTGGCTGTTTGTGATTTTGTGGGTTTTGCAGCATTATTGTGGCTATAGCTAACTGATGCATCACAGGAAATAATAATGACAGAATCTTGCAAGACTGGACTGGATGAGGCTCGCTCTGTGGTGCTCAGAAAAGAGCACGTGGACTGAAATGGCTGGGGAGAGCTTCAGGAGGAGAGGGTGCCTCGAGCAGCAAGGAGGGTATATCTGGAATGAGCCACAGCCTGGCTCATAAGGAAGTAAAGACGGGAGGGAGGGAGGGAAGAGGCTGTAAACCAACGCTCTCTGGCCTCTTGACTTCTCTGACCAACAGGCCCAAATCTGTTGCAAATGACCAACCCCCCCCCCTCGCCCCGCCCCGCTTGAAGGCAGTCAGGGTCTTGGTTCCTGTCCCCGGCTGCCGGGCCCCATGGCGCCCCCTTGGCCTTGTCCCTGGCCCTGGACCGCCTGACCGCCCCCCTACTCACCACAGACGGGGATGCTGCACTCCTCCCTCCGCACGGTGGGGTCCAAAGTGTAGCACCAGGGCCCGGTGGTGCTGCCGTCTGGGTTGCGGCAGAAATTCTCCTGCAGGTCGGCCCCGGGGTGGGTGGTGGAGTTGATTCTGGAAAAGGCAATTGCTCGGGGGGAGGCTGTGCCCCGCCACTCCCGACGCCCGTGCCTCTGTGCGCCCCACTCTCAGCCCGCTGGCAGATGGGCCTGCCCATCACTCACTCAGGCTTATGTGGGTAACGACTCCTCCACAGCTGGCACTGGAGGCCTGACCGGGTATAACTCTCGTTCCCTCGGTAGTTCATACCCAGGCCTTCGGCACAGTTACCTGCAGAGATCCCGGTCCAGTTTTCTTATCCTGAGGATTCGTCTTCCCTCTCTCTTAACAAAGCGCTGTCTATCTGCCCCCTCCAAGCTCCCACCGGCTCATGACCCTTAACTCGAATTTACTCTGCACCTTCTGTGCACTCAGCAGTTCCCCAATCCCTTTAACAGCTGTCACTGAATATTTGCTGAGTGCCCACCCTGTGACAACCCTCTGACAGGCACTGTGCCAGGACACAGTGATGCATAAGACAGTCCTAGTAGAGGCAGGTCCCTGCCCTCCTGGAGCTTATGTTGAGTGGTGCCTCATGGCCAGCAGGGTGAACCTGGCCCCGGTCTACCTGTCCTGTCATCTTAGCTCATCACGCCTCAGGGCCTTCGCACATGCCATTTTCTTCGTCTGGACGTACTCTCCTATTTGTTCATCAGCATGACCCACAAATCCAGATACAACTCTGCTTCCTTTAGGCAGCTGTCCCTGACCCTGTCAGCAAACTAAAGGCTCCTTTTTCTCGCCTTCTCAGAACTTTTCCAGCAGCCACTTTGATGTTTTATGTTTTTTGTTTTCCTATGAGAGTGTGAGCTCCTTGATTCTCTTAAAACCCCCACCACTGGACTTAGTGCTGGTCACAATAGCAGGGGTTTAATGAGATGTCTGTTGAATAAGTTATTTAACAAATGAAAGTATGGCCAGTAATTAAAGAGTTCCATGTTATGAAGTCTACTGTCCCACTAGCAGTGTATTCAGAAGGCTCAGTGAGGCATTTAAACCAATCCTTGAAAGACAGGGAGGTTTCAATGGGTAGTATGGCTGCTCCAGGGGAAGGCGGCAATGTAAGCAAGGGCCAGGAAGTCGAAGCATCTTGGCAAGCTTCAGGGAGTTCAGCCGGGGGTCCGGGCTCATGGATGGTGCAATGGGAGATACGGCTAGAAGGGGAGATGAAGCCTAGAACCTGAGAAGGTCGCCAGGCTGAGAAGCTGGTGCTTTGTTGTGGAAGCAATGGGAAGCCAGTCATGGGTTTGGGGAATGAGTGTGAGATCATCGGAGCTCTGCCCTGGGGACATCGGGAAGCCAGACATAGACAGGGGCCCAGACGACAGTGAGACCTTAAACATTAATTCACTATCCATTCATTCATTTGTTCCCCAACATGAATCGTCTTACTGGCTGCCAGGCACTGAGCCAGGTGCACAGATACGTCCTTGAGCGCAGGAGCAGAAGGGCAGTGTCAGAAGCTGGGGGCTGCCACCGCTGGGCCATCCCTGCTCCGCTCTTCTCCCTGGCGGTCCCCCTCGTCTCCTGCCCCCCCAACCCCACGTCAGTTTCTCACCTTCCAGACATTCATCAAGCTTTTCTCGAGATTTCTTCACCGACTCACAAGCTGGAAAAGACCCAGAAACACCTTTGGGATCAGAGTAGGGACAGGGTAGGCTCAAGTAAAGGGTGGGGCAAGCTCCAGAAACAGAGTGATGGACAGACAGACGGATGAAAGGGAAGAGGCATGGGTGGGGGTTGGCTGAATGATGGGCCAGGCTCTCTGAAGAACATCTTCGCCTGGGTCCCCGGGCCCCCCGCCCCTCCTGAAGCAGGCCTTTCCCAGCGCTCACCTGTGTACTTGGCCCAGAACGCATCCTGAAAGACAAGGGCTGAGCGTGAGGCTGTGGCAGGCCCCTGCTGTGTTTGGTGTCTTAGTAATGTTGTGTCTTCTCCTTACACTTTCCTCCTTTCCTTACCCTGGGCGCACAGGGGCAGGCTCTGGGAGGTCAATGGGAGAGTTCCCTGCTTTTGTTTCCAAAAGCTCCAGCCCATTGAGGAGAAAGGGATTTGAGGAGAGCGGAGCTCCCGGCCCCCCGGCGGAGACTGAAAGGGATTCCCTTGGGCAGGCGGACCGGAGAAGAAGGGGCGAGGGGCCCAGGCAGAGCCCCAAGGAAGGGAAAGGCTGTAAGGGCTCCCAGCCTCACCAGAGTCCCACACCCAAGGGCAGCACAGGGGTAGCGGAGAAGCTGAGGCTGAGAGGCCATGGGGGCCAGCCCTCCAGAGAGCCCAATCCAGTCACATGTCTAAACACGGAGAGGCCCCCTGATGTCCTGGAGCCTCAGTGGGCCCTGGGACCAGGCATCTGGATCTCCAAGAAGAGAGGCGTTGCTCATCTTGGCCGCCCAGTGAAATGAGGCTCCAAGATGAAACTAAGTCATTAACAAAGAGCTGTGGTGTTCCCTGCTCCTGGCACTGGGGGCCCTGGAGTTGGGCCCGTGGGGGACAGACGCCAGCCCTCACCGTGGCGTCCTGCGACTCCAGGGCCTCGAAGGCCTCCTCGAAGCTGCACTGCTCCTCCAGGCATTCTCGCTCCAGGTTGCCCTTGCGCAGCTCCTCCAGGAAGCCGCTGTTGGCACGTCGGACCCGCTGGAGCAGCGACAGTGCTTGCTGAGGGGCCAGGAACACTGCAGCAGGAGGGGCGTAGGACAGTGGCCTTAGGAAGCCCGGTTGTCTTGGCCGTGGCCATGGTCGGGGCAGGAAGCAGGTCTGGCCTGCCCTGCTGGCTTCCGAGAGGGTATGTCTGGGATGGTGGCAGGCCCCAAAAGGCTGCTAACAGAAGCCCACCAGCTCCCCTCCTTTCATTGGTCACCCGCAGCCCGTTCCCCATATTGCAAGGAAGAAGCAGGCACCATCCGCCCAGCCCTGAGCACCGGCCCACCTGGAGGCTGGCTCTGGGCTCCCTGCTGAGCAAAGGAAGGGACCCCAGCCCATGGGCCCCTCCTCCAGCCCGCCAGCCGGTCCCAGCTTCCAGGCCCCCCCTTACCATGCTGGCTGTGCACAAGGCTACACAGGGCAACCAAGGCCAGGCAGCCGGGTAACCATAGCCCTCGGACGTGCGCCATAGTGTGTTGGCTCCTAGGACTCTGAAGGCTCTTCCTGACCCCTCTGGTTAATGTTAAACCGACATGAAGAAATCAGCTGAAAGGAAGGGGTCAGCAGGTCAGGGCCACGAGGGCAAGAGAGTAGATAGTCCACCCCACCATCAGGGAGGACAGGTCATCCTGGGACCAGGGATGCATGGTCTGGGAGGGAGCCACAAAGGGAAGACCAGGGTAACCACCAACATCCAGCCCTTCCCTCCCTGAGCCATGGGCCCTGTTCAGCAGGGTCACAAGGTCTGCCTGAGGCCCTTTCCAACACATGGTGATGGTCACTTTAATCTGTGTGCCTCAGTGTCCTCATCTGTACAATGGGAATAGTACTTTGATGTGAGGACTAAAGCAGGTTAAGAATGTAAATCCCATGAATGGTAGTAAGTGCTTAATAGTCAGTAGATATGTGGATGTAAACCAATGAGGGGGGTGCAATCACAAGACACAGAAGAGACGAGACAAGGGTGCGCTTAGATGGGTGCTGCCTGCCTTGCCCCAGGACACACCGGGGCAGGAGACGCCAGCACTGCCCCGGCCTCTTAGTGGCCAGGGAGGGTCCGCTTCCTCTCTTGCCCATCACCTCCTCTTTTGCCCATCGGGGGAGCCGTGGAGGTGTGTCTGTGTGCAGCCTGCTCGTTGCCTCGGAGGCGGAGGCAGGGCCAGGGCCGGGGCCTCTTGGGCTTCTGCTCTATTTCCTCTCACCTCCCAGGACCTGCTGCCCCGCTGCGAACAGGAGCCAGCCCAGCTTCCTCGGTCTCCGGGGCAGGGCCCCTCCCTTTCTCTCCATCTGGCTGTCCCCTAGGCCAGACTAGAGCACCTGCTGGTTCCACGCTGCCCCTCGCCCAGCCCTGCTCCCCTCCCTGTCCCACTTCCTGTTTGAAGTCTGCAAGGTAAATATTAGTCCTGGGCCTAATTAGGACAGAGGGACAAAGAGCAGAAACACAGGGAGCACAGGTTCTCGCCTCGCCCTCCCTCAGGTCTGGCCGGCCAGGGGCTGGACTGCAGTCAGTACCTACGGGCTGTCTGGGAAGGTGCCAGTGCAGAGCCGGGGAGAGAGGGGACTGGCAGAGAACTGGGGACCAGGACTCCCACAGGTCTGCTTAATTCCTAGGTGGCCCAGTTCCTACATTTATATTTATATATATTTATAGTACATTCCTCTCTCTCTACCCCTACTCCCCACCCTCTCTCCCTCTCTCTCTCTCTACACACACACACACATACACACACACATTTAAATTGAGGTTTAACCTATATGCAGTAATGCTAAAACAAATCCTAAATGTTAAACTCAAGTTTTGATCCATACGCACTTGTAGCCACCTCCAGACCAAGAGAAAGAACAGTCCCGCCCCCACCTGTCTCCTTTAACTTCACCTACATGGGAGTGTGCAGCAGCATTTACCTGGTCGTGTCTGGCTTCTCTTTCTCAGTATGTTTCTGAGATTCATCTGTGTTGTGTGTGGCAATGGTCGTGTCCTTTCAAGCTGCATGAATATAGCATGTTATTTATCCATTCACCTGGATAAACTGAGGGGCATTTGGATTAGCTTCTAGTTGCCGTGCATTTGGAAAGCTTCCAGTTTTTGGCTCTTACAAATAATGCTCCAAATATCTGTACAAGTTTCACTTCTGTTGGATCCAGGCCCAGGAGTGGGTTTGCTGGGTCAGAAGACAGGCATACGATTTGCTTACGTTGCTATGATGAATGGTTTCGCTGTGTGGTTGCACTGGTTTGTGATGCTTGGCCATTCGAGTTGCTCACATCCTGACCAGTGCTTCACAGTGTTCATCCACTCACATTAACCCTTCTGATGGAGCTGTAGGTGTCTCAGCGTGGTTTTAATTTGCATCCCTGTTATTAATGACACTGAGCCTACTACTCTTTTTCTTTTTCAGTGGAGTGGTTATCTCATCTCACTAATTTCTTTTAAATTTCCATATTGAGTAAGGGCAGGGAGCAGAGTGAATAAATAGAAGGGAGGTATGGTTTCGTCCTTCTGCCTGGTGGCAGGTGACCCTCCTTTTTCTGAGGACCAGGTTGAGCCAGTGCCCAATGACATAAAGGAATAGTTAGATACCACCACAAGGAGTGAGGGACATTTGATAGGACAAATGACCCTAGTTTCCCTAACAAAGTCATGCCATGGAAATATATAGGGGATGGGGGGTGGGGTGTAGGGAGGGACTATTCAGGACAACAGAAACCAAAGAGATACCCAACAACCAAATGCACAAAGGGAAGCGACATACTGTGACTGGTTTAGACTTTTGAACAAATCAACTGTAAAAAGACAAGAAAATTTAACAAACAAGAAAACTGAAATATAGATTGTTATTAATAATGAAATTTGTTTTTTGTTAATTTAGTATTATATGATACCTGGTTATATTTTTTAAATCCTTACGAGTTAGAGATTACACTGAAGGATTTGTAACAGATGAAACAAGCATGGCAAGGATTAACGGGGTTCTAGATGGCTTCCACGTTCTCCTGGGAGACCAGGAGACCATACCCACGCCCTCTGCCTTGCAGAGGATTGAGGGACAACATCCCCCCTGTGAGTGGCTCTGGAAGGACTGTCCTTGGAACTCTCTGGGCCCAGCAGGAACCTTGCACCTGAGCGGGCCCTTTCTGCTTCCCCGTAAGCGCAGGCCGGTAAACCGAAAGCAGACCAGTGTCCCTCCACCAGCAAGGGCACTGAGGGGGGCTGCATTTCTGTCCAACAGGCTGGAACTGAACAAAACCAGTAAGACCAACCCCATGTTGTATACAAAACTCTGTAATCACTGAAAACAGTAAAATTATGTTCCAAAACATACAGTTAGAGGATTTCAGAGATGGAAGAAAATTCAGATATTATTAAACCCAGACATTTCGAAGCCTAGGGCTCTGTGCATATACTACAGGGTGGCCTTGTCTTTTGGGGTATTTTTTTAAAAATCCTCAAAATTATAAATTTATCCTAAGACAAAAATAATGTTTTTCCCTTCTGACTGAAATTATGCCTCTTTTGGTGGTTAATTACCTTAAGTTGTTCTCAATCTGATCAGCAGTTTCCCATTTTGATTTAAAAATATAAGTATGTCCATTTCTATTACATAGAAACCTTTTATTTATTTTTAAAGATTTTATGTTTTATTTTTAGAGAGAGGAGAAGGAAGGGAGAAAGGGAGAGAAACATTGATGTGCGAGAGACCCATCGATCAGTTGCCTCTCGCATGCCCCCAAATAGGGAACTAGCCCTCAACCCAGGCATGTGCCCTCACTGGGAACCGAACTCGCAAACTTTTGGTCTGCAGAATGACCCCAACCGAGCCACTCCAGTCAGGGCAGAAACCTTTTAAAAGATGGGATCCATAGAAGAAAAACTTTAGCAGGGTTCCATGGTGGAGCCGAGACTGGAAACCACAGATCTGACCCAGTTCCCCCATGTTGCCATGAGGAAATGGAGGCCTCTGAGAGGGGAAGCTAAACGATCAAGGTGGTACACAGAGTTGGTGGCAGAGTCAGGACCGAGACTCAGGCTCCTGCCTTCAGCCACTTCTCCTCCTCGCACGACCTTTGTCCTGACTTATTAGAGCACAGCCTCACTATACCATAAGGTATACTCTGAGGACACGTGTCTGAGTACAAAACTGCTGAGTGAGTGATGCTGCCCTGCTCGAAGCAAGCAATACCTATAGGAAACATGGAAGTACCTTAATCTTGCTTGTCTTCCAGTTTAGGAGGGCTGGCTACAATACCATTAGTTGCTCACCATGTGCTAGGTACACAGTACTAATGAGGTAGGTACATATTTATGCCCACTTTATAGATTAAAACACTGAGGCACAGAGAAGCTAAGTAACTTGCCTGAGTTCATGCAGCTAGTCAAGGGCGGAGGCAGGACCCACACCTGAACCTGTCTATAGATGGAGCTCTGCAACAGCCCATGCCTTGCATCGTCAAAAGTCCCTAAACGTGATTCAAATTTTATTCTAAGATTTTCTTAGTATTAAAGGTGCAAATCAGCCCCTATGTTCATTGCAACATTATTTACAATAGCCAAGATATGGAAGCAACCCAACTTTTTACATCAATAGATGAGTGGATAAAGAAGATGTGGTACATACACACAACGGATACTACCCAGCCATAAAAAAGAATGAAATCTTATCATTTGCAACAACATGGATGGACCCAGATGATTTTATGCTAAGTGAAATAAGTCAGACAGTGAAAGACAAATACCATGTGATTTCACTTGCACGTGGAATCTAAAGAAAATAAATGAACAAAATAAATGCACAAACAAAACAGAAATAGACTTACAGTACAGAGAACAAACAGCTGCAGGATGGGAAAGGTTTAGGGGGCTGGGTGAAGAAGGTGAAGAGGCTGAGAAGTACAGATAGGTAGTTACAAAATAGTCATGGGGATGTGAAGTGCAGCCTAAGGAATCGTCAATAATATCGTAATAACTATGAATGGTGCCAGGTGGATAATAGACCTATCCAGGGGAATCACTTTGTAAATTATACAACAGTCTAATCACTATGCTGTACACCTGAAACTAGTATTAAATGGAAGCTGTAATTTAAAAGATAAATAGAGTTGCAAATCAGGACAAAAGATCATTTTTTTGTCTGCACTTTCTGATGTTTGGTTCAGCAGGTACAGACACTGTGTGGCTAAACTTGCATCTGTGAAAAGGTGTTCAGTGACATTTTCATGGTGCCTTGGCCCTAAGCAGGTAGCAGCATTGAAATTCAGTATGATACACACCAAATTGTTCAAAGTGACTTAATCAGAAGATGGAGGAAAGTAGGAGGGAAATAGGAACTTTTGAACTGTGATGAACAAGAATTATTTTGAAACCAGGAGGAAAATATTTTCTCAGTTAAAAAACCATTCCAGTGACCCGCCTTCCCCAGAACAGTCACGCCGTTTTATTTAGCTGGGAGAGCACTGCGTTAGGAGTCGGAAGTCCTGGGCCCTGCCCTGAGTCTGCTGCTGCCTGGTCTCAGGCCTGGGCTAGTGCCTGTCCTCTAGGCCGCCTCCATTTTCTCACCCCTAACAAGAGCTTGAACAATGCTCTGATGCCCATTCTCAACTTTAGTCACGAGTGTTGGCAGAGCAGAGGCTCCCAAACCAGGTGGCTTCAAGTTTGTTGGCTTTGATCTGACCCTGCTCTGAGAGAGAAGTTCTCCATCTGTGTGTGTGGGGAGGGGGGGGGTATGTGGCAAGGCGGTGTGAGCATCCCAGCTCTGAGCCTGAGAATGCCTGCGGAACGTCAACAGGCCTCCCCGGCAACCCAAAGCATCCCTGCTTCGCTGCACAGTTCAGTCTCAGGCAATGAATGAGTACATTCCCAGGATACCTAACAGCACTGGGCATATACTGCCGAGGGGTCACCTCGGGCAAAATGACACTGCCTGAAGCAGGAGCTGGAAAAGGTAAGGACCTGTGGAGCCTCACATAGCCTCCAAGAAACGGGCGTGGCTAACAGCATTAGCAACTGTTTTTCAGGCTTTGGGTTGTGTAGCGTTCATCTCCACGGATCCTGATTTCCTGCTGTCCTCCTTCCCTTGGAAAATTTCAGTTACGCTTTGCCAAGAACTTTTTCAGAATGGGTGGGTGGCTGGGTTAACGTCAGTAGCAAAGTGGGAGACGTGGGGCTGCTTATGACATTGTGAGGAGGCATTTTGAGCACACGCCCCATTTCCATCCTGGCCCTGCCGTTCACTGACAAAGGGGCTTGGGACGGGTCTACTTGAGGTGGACCGCGTTGGCATGTGGATTCTTAGAGCTGAAGGCAATTGAGACCCTGTAAGCACAAAAGGAACTTTTACCTCCCTTTTAAAGAATTTAAATGTGAAGCCTTGTAAGAATTATAACCAGAAACAATTTTTTATGACCTATCTGTAGGGCAGAGCAGACTTCTAATTACTGAACATCAGCTCTTAGCACCCTGTGAACGACCTTCACCCCCTCTGCGGCCTCACAGTGTCTTGCCTCGCTCCTTGGTTCAGGATGCCGTGCAGCCCTCTTCTTTCCTGTCTCTGAACCCCTCACGTGTGTGGGGTGCCTTGTATATGTATGTAATTAAATTGGGCCATTTTCTCTTGTTAACCTCTCCTGTTGATGCATCAGACGAGCTGCAACAACCTAGGAGGGTAGAGGGGAAAGTTCCTCCTCCCCAGCACTGATTGTGTGCTCTCAGCCAGTTACTTACTGGCTCGGAAACTTGGGAGTTCTCATCTGGGAAACAAGGATCACACCTATTTTGTAGGACAGGAGGCAAGAATGTATGTTCTTCCTGTCTCTCTTGCCTCCCACTCCTCGAAGCAGTCCAATCTGGCTTCCACCTGCTCTCCCTCAGCTCCGCAGCGACTTCCACAAGTTTGAAACCTCCCAAGAGCAAGGGACATTGTTGCCACCTCTTCCTCGTTGAGGCAGTCTTCCATCAGCTTCTGCGACACACACTCTGCAGGCTGTTCTGTTTTGTTGGACGCTGATTCTGCCTCCCCTGAGGAGCCTTCCTCCTCCCTTTCCTCTCCCTGCTCCCACTGCTTCAACACCCACCTCGTTGCTAGCGTCTCCGTGACTCTCCCTCTACCGCAGGCTTTTCTCCCCGGGTTGTGCCTATTTCCGATGCTTGCTTAACATCTCTCCCGCAGGCACACCAACCCATCCCAAACCAAAATCCCAACTGCCCTGATCTCACCCTGGTGCTATGTAACTTGCCAAGTCAAAAAGCAGAACTCAGATCTCTCCCCCTCAGTCTTTGAACCCTGTCACTTCACCCTCCGAGAACGTACCCACCCAGTCCTTACCACAGCCCGCAGCGCTCACCCCGCTTTCCCCCACTTCTGAGGTCCGTCTCGGCCACCCTGCTGCCTGTTCTCCCACCAATTCACTGGACGTTTGCGGGAATTACCCTTGCCCGCCCTTTCCCGACATCAGCCTGGCTCACTCCCTTCCACAGCACAGGTCTCTGCTTGTGCCAGGCTGTCAGAGGCCTTTCCTGACCATCCTCTGCAAAATCATACTGCCCACTTTAACTTCTCCCCTGGATTTACCAGTCTGGCATTCATGTACTCTTTCCACACTAGAATGTAACTATATGATAGCAGAATTTGTATTACTGCTAGATCCCTAGCAACTTACAGAAAGTGCTCAAGAAACATTTGTTGGATGGGTGACTCCATTTCTCTGCATTTCACTGTGGCCACCCCACTCCAGCAACCCCAGCAGCCTACAGACTTCCCCACACTGCATCTCCCCCGCCTCTCTTCTCCAGTGGGCTCTTCACACACAGACCTGTTCACGTCATTCCCCTGCTCAAAGCCCTCCGAGGCGTCCTGACAATGAAGTCCAAACTCCTGAGGCAATGCCGGTGTGAGCTGGCTCAGGCCCCCTCCCCTCGCTCTCTGCCCCGGCGGTGCTGGTCTTCCTTGGTTGCTCACATGCTCCAGGCTCTTAAGTGCAGCTCCCCACACCCCACTGGTACCCACTCATCCATCATGTTGCAGCTGAAGGGAGGCAGAGCAGAGCGACGTGGCTAGAAGCCTCACTCCCACGCTGGACTACGTGGGTATGGACCTTAGCTCTGCTACCTAGTAGCTTTGTTACCTTGGGTACGATACTGAAAGATCTTTGTTCCTCAGTTTCCTTATCTGTGAAATAATACCACCACCAGCTACCTTTCAGGGTTGCCATAAGGATTATATAAATAAACTCACTGGCCCACAGTTGGGGCTAAAAATTTACTATTGTTATTATTCCTTGGGGACGCGTTCCCTGATGCCCCAGACCAACTTAAACTGTCCCATGAAACACACCCTTGGCACCGTGTGATGCTGTGCTTTGAACTCTCCCCATCTAGTGCTTTCTGCCCCCTGGGATCCTAAGCTCCACAAAGGGCACTGCCTCTGTCTTGCTCAGAGCTTCATCCCCAGTCCCCAACACAGTCCAGGCCTGCAGTACATGCAAAACACATGTTAATTCCTCACCCCTTCCCTCAACAGGGCTGCCTTGGGGCCAAGGACACAGAATAGTGCCCATCAGGCCCTCCAATGAATCCAGGGTCTTTCAGCACAGAAGAAAACCACCTTCACAGCCCTCGAGTGGTAAGAAGAGCTGCCAACAGCATGAATTACAGACTTCTGAGCTAGGAGCTAAGCTCAGTCTCTGGCCTTTTAACCCTTAACAGTCACTCAGATTGGTTCCAAATAGAAGGGCTTGTCCCTCAGGGAGATCAACGGGAGGGACTATTCCAGCACTAAACACCCTGCCAACTCGTGACTGCGTCACCAGGCAGGTCACTTTGGAAATGCTTAAACAAGCATTCTGTGGAGTTCCTAGGGAGTCGGAACAAGCTCCACTGGAAGTGGACAAAAATATCTTAAGAGCTTTACCTTAAAGTATTAGGAAACAATTTCGCGGCCCATAAGCAGGAAGTCTTGACCTGTTTCTCCTAGCAGCCTCTAGTCTCTACCAGGCAATCCAAAGAGAGAGATCGGACACGTAGAAAACACTTGTCTTTATATAGAGCTCTGCTAGGGAAAGGCGAGGGTGTCAGGTGCCTGTCTCCACCTCCACCACTTCCGCCCAGGTGCCAAAGCCCACATCCTTATGGATGAGGACCAGGCTGGGGGCGGGGCCTGGCTCCTCTGGCACCACAAAGCACTTATCCTGGCTCTCGGAAACTGTGACCTCGAAGACGTCCTGGGCTGGGGAGACGTTCTGTTTGTTACTTGTGTCCAGCAGTTCTGGCTCCGTCTGCAGTAAGACCACAGTGGGCTCAGAGCTAGCAGGAGGCACACAAGGTGGGCTGGAGGGCACCCCTGGCTGGTGACTGAGCTGGTGCCGCTTGAGGCTTTGGGGGAGGGTATAGCCCATGCCACAGGTGGGGCAGCGGTAGGGCTTGTCGGCCAGGTGGGATTTGAGGTGGCGCCTCAGCTTGGTAGCCAGTGTGTACGCACGGCCACACTGGGGGCACGGGAAGGGCCTCTCCCCTGAGTGCAGGCGCTCATGGGCACGCAGCGTGTGCGGGTCTCGGAGGGCCTTCCCACATACAGGGCACAAGTGGGCTTCCCCAGTGTGGGAGATGAGGTGGCGCCTCAATTCAGGCAGCTGGGGGAAGGCATCAGCGCAGTGTGGGCAGCGATAAGGGCGCTCCCCCGTGTGCAGTCGCAGGTGCCCACGTAGGTTGCCCCGCTGGCGGAACGCCCGGCCGCAGTGCGGGCACAGGAAGGGCTTCTCCCCTGTGTGGAGCCGCATGTGGTTCCGCAGGGACCCCTGGTTGGCCAGGGGCCGCCCACAGACGGGGCACGGGCACGGGGGGGGCGCAGCTGACACCTGATGAGTCTTGCGATGCAGTCGCAGGGAAGGCCGGCGGGCAAAGGCCTTGCCACACTGGTCACAAGCAAAGGGTCGGGCACCTGAATGTACCACCTGGTGTTCTCTGAGGTCTCGCTGGGTGCCATAGGCCTTGTCGCATTGTGGGCAGGGAAAGGGCCGCACCCCGCGGTGGCCCAGCATGTGGGCTTTGAAGCTCTCCTCTGAGCTATAGCTCTTGCCACATTCAGTGCAAAGGAAGGGCTTGTGGCCCGTGTGCACAAATGCATGCTTCTTCAGGTGGCACAGCTGCAGGAACGCTTTGCCACACTCCCCACACCGGTACCGTCGCCCCTGTTTCGGGGAGCTTCCCGCCGGCATGGGAGGGCTCCGCAAGCGTGCAGAGAAGCTAGGATGCTGCTCTCCATCCTGCCGGGCGCTGGGCTCTGAGCTCTTTGCTCTGGGTCGGCACGGGTCGCTGGAGCTACGTGACATCTTGACAAGGTGAGCACGCAGCTGTATGCCACCTGCAGAAGACAAGGAAGTAGCCTCGCTGCTCTGTCGGCCCCGCTGGGTAAGGGAGCAGCTCTGAGGTTCAGCTGGCATCTGTGCCTGGGGCAGGTCTTCTTTGTCCATGTTGCCACCCTGAGACAATGGACCCAGTGACTGGCTCTCCCTGGAAAGCTGGTCCTGGGTTTGGGGGTTAAGTCCAAAGCTCAGCATACTCTCTGCCAGGATGCTGGGGGGTGACTGGTGAACAGGATCTGCAGAGCAAGAGTGGCGTGCTAGGGTCAGTAGAGATGATGGCAAGTGGTGACAGTGGGTGTCACGAGAAAATTATAGGAATGTGTGTCTTCCCCTATTCAGCCCCTGGACTCCGGTGGGAGCAGTGGCATAAATATTCTCCCTGAAGCATGAGCAACACACCCCAATTTATCTTCCTGTCCAGCCTCAGGTGCCTCCTGGGGAAGCTCTTGGAAATCAGTGCCCTGGACATCTGGGTAATTCCTAGGGTAAGGCCATTCCAGGGTCCCCTTGTTCTCCTTCTGCAGACATGCACTTAGGAAGAGTTGAGATCACCGCCTCCTCACCTTAGCTCATTTGAAAATTGAGGAACCCAATCCCCACCTCAGATAGAAAAAACATAGTAAATTGGAAACCTATACATGGCTTGCTGTTTTTAACAACATGACCTTACTGTTCCCAGGAATTTATTCAGGAAGACAAAAGTTGCCAATATCTGTATTGTTCATTCCAAGGAAAACACTCATTACTCTCTACAAAAAGCATCATACAACAATTTATACCTCAAGACTCTGAACCTCTTGCCTGAAAATTCTGGCCTTGTTGTGTCCATAAATCCTAAACTATTATGTCATGCTCCTTAACCAATCCCACTCAAAGCCTACCCCCATCCCACACTGACAGATACACCTTATACCAGACTTCAAAATTTCAATACCTATCCAGGCTTTGCCCTGCCCCCTCAGAAAAACCACTAAGACTGCAGTGTTCTACCTTACCTTCTTGGGCCATAAGCTCTGTGTTGTCTTATCAACAAGTTGTTTCGGTGATAACTGGGAAAGTCAGCATGTGTTTAACACGTACCTGTACAAGATTCTCCTGCATCCTCCCCAGGAGAGGCCACTTTCTGTTGTACAGCAGATTCCACTTCTGTCACCAGAGCCACAGCCGCCTCTTCTTCTGGCCTGGGCTGGGCGGGGCTCAGGCCCTCAGAGGGAGACCGGGGCCACAGTAGCAGCTCAAAGCCTGGCAGCACGACCCGGTACACCTGCAGGTGGAGCCTCTCGCTGATCCTCACCGGGGCCACATTTCCCTCACCCTCCAGCCTGCCCCGCTGCACCAAACTGCAAAGCAGAGCAAGAGCCAGCTCGAGAGACCCTCTTCAAGTGGTCTTCCCTACAAGCCCCATCGCCGGGTCAGTCTGAGTCCTAAAGGACCCCATGCCTTTGGAACACTCACTGCAAAAGACCACTGGATGGGGGCTTACAGTCGGCTTCCGGTTCCATCCCATGCCACAACAGAAAGGCTCAAAGGAGCAACTTTACTACATACTCTCCTGTAACTTACCTGGTCCAGCCTGAACTCTGCTCACAAGCACACACGTCTCCCCATGGGCCTAGTGACACGTCCTGAAATAAACCAATAAAAGTCCTTCTCCCATGTGTTTAAGGGGGCCAAAATGGGGGAAAAACAAAAACAGAACAGACGTAACCTCTCCTGAGAGAGATCCAAGGTGAAGCCCCTGGAAGGCTGATGGTCCCTGGTTCTGCTGGTTTTTCATTCCGTAAAGACCAAAAAGACAGTCCCCTCACCTCTCCCCCAGGGTGTGGAGAATCACTAAACTGAACACACTGTTGCCCTCCAGTGAGTACCTAACAGAGAAAGTAGTAAGAGGATTATCTACTCTCTTTTTAAGTACTGCTTATGCAATAAAACCCTTCACCCGTGCTATTTCATCTATTGTTCCAAATAACCATGGAGGATTAAAGTAAAGTCATTCCTTTATTTTACATAAGTTAAATGAAACATGTCATTTAACTAGGTTAACCACTAAGGCTAGGATATGACCCCATGGCTCTTTAATAGCAAAATCTTTGCTCTAAACTTCCATCAGCAATGACACTGTATCAGCCCAGCTTTAACAACTTTCTGCATCTCGATTCCTTAACTACTGCAGGCGAGGGGGAGAGGCAGTTCTGGAGAGAAGGGGCTAAACCATCTCCTATCTCCTGAAATGCTCTGCTTCCTCTAACAAACCGGAGAGCTGTCCACAAGCTGTCTGAACCGCTTGCAAATGTTCAATGACGAGAGTAGCCACCGTATCCCTCAATACCTTCTTCTGTCGTGGTTTCACTCCCTCGCCCTTCTGCTCGGAGTCGGACTCCTCTTCCAGCGGCCCCCAGAGCACTCCTGGCCTCAGAGGCTCCCCGACACACCAGACCCCCAAGCGCTGTTTCTCCACGAGTGACGGGCCAAGGGCTAAACCCCGTGGGAGGCTCTTTAGAGCGTGGACGGCTCGGGTCGGCCAGGGCGGGAAGTCTTTGAGGCCCTGGGCACAACCTTCTCCGGAGGGGCCCCATCCTGAGCCCGGGTCCAGGCTCGGCTCGGGGGCTGCAGGGAGACAGGAAGGCAATAAGGGAGAGGACCAAGAGGTCGTGGGGGGTGGGGGTGGGGAGGAAACCGCACGGCTACTCTGGCCTCAGGAGTCTGAGGGATAGATAAGGGCTCCAACGGAGCCCCTGAGAGGTTTGAAGAGGTTTGAGGGCTGTTTAGAAGCCCCCAGAGATTCTGAAGGCTCCAGGCGAAGCTCCCGGGCTCAGGAAGAAAAGGGTGGCGGAAAGCGAGTTGACCAGAAAATGTCAGGTGTATCTAGGCCAGGGCTGGGGGTCGGCCACTAGGCAGGTCGCTCACCTAAATGCAGTCGCTCCCTTTCCAAGCGCCCCTCTGCCACCTCCTCCATCCCGGGTCAGAAAGCCTCCCTCGGCCGGAAGTGAGCATCGTCTTCTCCGCTCCTCCCGGAAACAGTCATGGACTGCCAAATTTACTCTCAGGAAAGAGTCGTAAGAGTCAGACTTCATTGGTGCGCAGGACCGGGGGTTTGGCAACGCTACTGAAGCAAAACTCTCTTAGAGAACAATACGGGTTTATCATTCCGGAGGTCCACCAGAGATTCGAGTATCGGGGAACGGGAACTAACAGTTCCAGCCGCCTCCTTTCGAGTGGGAGGAATCGGAAGGCTATGCGGTTCTCACCTCACGAGGGCACGTACAGGAAGTGGGCGTGGCTCCAGGAGAAACCATGTTTGGCCCGGGGAACGGGTCGGAAGTGGGTTGGAGGTGTGGCGGAAGTGGTCGGGGAGTGAAGAGACTGGGAGGGGGCAGTCCCCGTTTTACAGCGGAGCCGGATGTTTGCCGAGCTTTGACAGGCGTGGCAAAGGGAGCGTTGCCGGACCACGGTGAGCTGCTGGGCGCGGGGCTTCCTTGAGTGGTGGGGGGAAGGGAAGAGACTGGCCTGGTCCTCTGAAGAGATGGGATCTGCATGGGTAGGATCCAAGAGGACCCGAGGGAGGGAGTACGGTTGGAATGGGGCCTGGGAGCCTGGCCGTCCTCCTGCGGGAATTCTGCCTCGCTCCTGGATTTGCAGTGAGAGGACTTAGCTTCCTTCGCTGCCTTCCTCCTTCCCTCCCTGGTGCAGAGTCCAGGTCACATAGGCATCACCGAGCAAGCCCATGGGAAGGGGAGCTCTCCCTTGTCCGTTCTGGCGGAGCGCGACGAAAAATTTGGAGGAAGTGTTCCACCCTGCCACCTATTATTAGGCCACGCTTTCATCTCTGTTTCATAATCAGTGCACCCAATCCAGGTTTTGTAAACCATGGAGCTCTATGCGAACGTGATTGTAGTTGAAAGTCTTGAGGTTGTGCTGTAGGATTTGCGTTTTCACAATTCTGGAATTCCTAGGAGAACGATCCTAACGCCAGAAAACGTGATTTCAAGTCTTTGCCTCTATTCTCGAAGGAGATTAGGAGACAGGCTTTATTTTGCCTTTTTGTAGAACCTTTCTGAATATTGAGAATGCATGAATGACAATCACTTAAAGAAGTATTGAGGGATTGACCTGCCCAATGAGACCACCTTAGAGAGACATGGTTCCAATCTTGGTTGTGCTGTATGACCCTATGCAATTTGCTTATTTTTCCGGAGCTCACTTTCCTCACACTGTGAAATGGGCCCAGTAGTACATGCCTTATTGGTGCAGGTGTGAAGTTAAAAGATCATTTGTGTTCAGTTCATGGTGCTATACTGCCCTCCATCAGTGTTGGTTCCCTTCTCCACTTAGGAGATGAATTAATTCAGTTGGTCATTCAACAAATGACTGAGCACCTACATGTGTCAGATGTAATTCTGAATAGGTCAGGGGTTCTTAATTAGGGACTCTCAGAGGGCATGTGAACCTTAAAATTCCATGCAAGATTTCATATAAGTGCTGATTTTCCTTACGGAAAAAGACCACAAATCTCCAGAATTTCATAGAGGTTCCAGATTTCCAAAAGGTTAAAACCTCAATATAAAACTGCCTAATATGAGTCTTGAGATTTTTCCAAAGGTAGATCTTTACCTACTGAGAAGGGAATGAATTATTCTCCCAGTAAGGAGTATTTTGCAGAATGGAGCAGGGTTTGTAGATGCCTGGAGATACTTCCCCTCACTGGCCTCGCTCATCCTCCCATTGAATGGAAGCTAAGCTTCCAGGCTCACCTTGGAGGGCAGAGGGCCACAGCTGTGGGTTGGTGGGTGGTTAAGAGAGGCCAGTCTGGCTGGGAGGTGGGAAACTGTGATTAGTTATTCTGGAAGAGGAGGTTATGGAGTAGGGGTTAGGGGGGGGTCAGTTCTGGGAGAACTGACAAAATAGAGAAGTTACTGGAAAAGAGGTGGAGTTCAAGTTTGGCTCCCTTTAGAGAGTGACCCTCTTCCTCCCTCACACATACTTCAGTTTGCAGCTGTTCTTTCTAATCCTGTTGTTCACTTCTGCATAAGTATTTTAGAACACTGGAGAATTATATTTCTGGGAAGATCCTTCACTTCTTTTTAAAAAATTTTTAATTGTATTTTTTTCCATTAACATTTGTTCCCCTTTATACCCTCTTCCACCTCCACCCACCCCTCTCTACCCCGCAATCACTACACTGTTGTCCATGTCCATGAGTCCTTTTTCAGAGCCCTCACTTCTATAGATGAGGAAATTTAGGACCGGATAGGAAAAGGACTGTCCAGAATCTTTGCCACTCATTGGTTTAGGCAGGACTGTAATCCAGTTTTCCAAATACGACATCGCATGCCCTTTTCTTTGCATCAAGCTCCCGCTGAGCGCAGAAAGACTTCCCTGGATAGCTGTGGGCTGGCCTGAAGGAGCACACGGTGCCTGGGCAGTGACAGAAAGAAGCGATGGAGAGAAGGCTCCAGCGTGGAGAGGGTTACTTTGAACTGAATTTTGTCCCTCATACCCAGCAGGGGTAGGGGAGTCCTCAGCCTCCTGAGCATTATGTAGATGAATCAAGGGTGGATTCCTCAAGACTGAGGTGTGCTTACCCTAGAGGGTTGAAGGGGAATGGGGGAGCTGGGGTGTGGGGCACAGCAGCACCCACTGAGAGAAATGCATTCCCAGAGAGGAGAGGTTTGTGGGAAGGGACTTATATTCTGGTGGTAAGCAGAGGTTGTGAATAAGGGTAGCAGAAAAGGCCAGAGTAGAGGAAGAGGAAAAAGGGGTTTTTTTTGTTTGTTTGTTTTCCATTTTCTTTTTTTCTTTTTTCTTTTTGGTTGCTTGGCTGCTCAGCTTTGGCTTAGGAGCTTGAAACAGCTTTTGCCACTGAATCAGTGTGGTTGCCCTGGTAACAGGATGGTTGTTGCTAGGCACAGGGAGCCAGTGTACCATCCAGAACCCTTGGCTGTGACATGTGCAGGAGGCGGTCACATTGCCTCAGAGTCCAGAGGTGTTCCGGGTCTGAGTCTCGGCTGGCAGTTCTGTCTTCTCCGTACCCATGCCTGGGTCTTGTCTGCACTCCTTATCTGCCCTGCTGGTTCTCTGACCATATATGTCATTTTTTGGACTCCAGGAATGTAGAGAGCTTAGGCAGCCTCTTCTTTGGGGCTGGACCGAGTGGCTTGAATTGAAAATCCCCTCCCTCACCCATGTGGTCAGCTTCTGATGGGAGAGGGCTGTGCTTCCCGTTAAGGCTGAGGGCAGAGGGTGCGCACAGCCACATCCTTATGGCCCGGCCCAGTTTCGGAGTTGGCTCTTCTCCCTCCCTGCCTGCTATAGGTGCTGTTCTCTTTTTTGCCTCCTGTATCTCAGCACTCTGTTGATGTCATGAACTTCCCCTTCGGTGCCCTCCGATCCCTGCGGCAGCCTGTTGACCTTTGCCACCCTGAGGTTAGCGTCTGGAGCTCCCCACAGATCAGAGTGGGCTCAGGAGCCCCCAGGAGCCTGCAGATTTTCTGCAATGACTGGCAGGCAGATTCCATTCTCTGCTCCTGGTTCCTGTCCTGGGGCAGATCCAGCAGTAGCCCTTCCATGGCCTATCTTCTGGGGCCCTTTTGTCTCTAGCCACCTCCTCTTCCCCAGGACAGGGACCAGAGATGGAGTAACCAGGGCCACAGCTGACCTCTGGGGGTTTAGAGCATCCTCATGTTCCTTGGGCCCTTATACCGTCTTTCCCCCATAACTGCTGGGACCTGCAAGCTCCTGTGCTCTGTGACCCCTGAGAAAGGGACATGGGCCTCTGCCCTCTGCAGCTGGGACTACGTGACTGAACCAGCTGGGCGGTGGGCAACGCAGAGCTTGGCACGACGCTTCCCTAACCAGCTGGCGGACCTGAAGGCAGGCACTGAGTTGTGCCGTCCTTGGCCCCAGCTGCCTTTTCTGGCAACATGCCAGAAGATTGTGGCGCCTGGAGGACCAGGAGCTACATGGGACTGTTGGCAAGGATGAGAAGTGTTGAGGAACAGGGACAAGGGAGAAGGGGACAGGAGGCTTGCTGTAGCGGTTATAGGTATAAAGAGGGTGTCACTGACCTGCCACCTTGCTGCCCTCTCCCGGGGTTCTCTTCAGGGTCTGTGCGGTGAAGCTGTGGGAGACAGGCTCGGCTATGGACCCACTTTCAGACCTGCAAGATGACCTGGCCTTGGATGACACCAGCCAGGCTCTGAACCAGCTGAAGCTAGCGTCCATTGATGAGAAGAACTGGCCGTCGGATGAAATGCCCGACTTTCCCAAGTCAGGTGGGCACCACTGGGTCTCAGGCAGCCACAGGCCCCTTAGATGGGGAACCCGTCCTGCTGGAGGGCGACTTCAGGAGAGGACAGGCTCACCAGCCCCACAGTGGGGTTGGAGTGTGAGCATGGGGGGCGGGGGGCAAAGAGCACCCGTCTTTGGAGAGCACTGTGCCAGCCCCTCAAGCCTATCCCGTGACTTTGCCCTGTTCCTCAGATGACTCTAAAAGCAGCTCCCCAGAACCTGTCACACACCTGAAGTGGGATGATCCTTACTACGACATCGCCCGGCACCAGATTGTGGAGGTGGCAGGTGAGCACACCCAGTTTTGCCCCTTTTCCCGTATGGTCTGCACTCCTGGCGTAAGGAGGACAGCCCCTTGTGCCAGAGGGGAGGGGCCTGGGGGAGCGGCAGTGCCCATTTTGTGGTCTGACCCCGACCTTCGGGCTCCTGAGCACAGGTACCATTCTTGAAACTCACATACTTGGTAGTGGCGGCCACTTAGTTTGTTCACCTGCAACCATATCCTGACCTGTGACCCCACTGTGTCCACGGGTGGATCGTGTGCGGGAAGCAGTGTGGCCTACTGGCTTTGAAGTCAGAAAGCCTGGGGTTGGATTTCCAGCTTTGCTCTCTGAACTGATTTCTTCCTGACAGGGTTGTTGAGAGGGTTACATTAGTGAATGCAGGTCAGGGCCTAGCGCGGGGTACAGAGTTAGCCCTGAGGACGTGGTCGTTCACCTCCCTTCCCTCTGCCCTCCTGTCAGCCTTTCTGCCCCATCAGTTACTGGGAAGCGGGGCGATGCCGGTCCCTCCTGGGAAACCCTGCCTCCGCGGAAGTCTGGAAGCCATGCGGGCCCTGGAGCGTCAGACTCCTGGCAGGTGCGCTGCCCTGCTGAGGATGGGTGCAGAGCGCCCCTTAGCTGCTGGCCTCAGTGCGCTCCCACCTTCCTGCTCATGATGCAGGACCCAGAAGCCTCCGAGAGTGGCGAGAGTGGCAGAGGCAGCAGGGATGTTGGTCACCTGGTTTCTGCCCTCAGGGTCCCACTGCTCGAAGAAGGAATGAATTGCCAGATCCTTTGTCTTTTCCCAGATGGTGTCTGTCCTCGCTGGTGAGGCCAGGCAGCTGTACGCTGGGGTGACAGCATGGCCCTGCCCTGAGGCATTGGAGTGGGCGAGGAGAGCAGGGAGCACATGGGCCCTGGACCCAGTGTGGTGCTGGCTGACGGGCCCTGGAGGCAGCTGGCCGAGGGGGAGCAGCAGGGAGTTCCATCTGTCCTTAGGGCTGGGCTCAGAAGGCTATCCCTAGTGTCATTTCCATGATGCCTGGGTTCCCGGAGCCTGTCCTGGTCTGGGTTGGGGGCCTTGGCTGTGGCCTCTCTCACCCCCGCAGAAGCAAGGCTGAGAGCTCTTTCCTGCTGTCGTCCTGACCTGGGCACAGGAGAGTCAGCTGAAGGTTCAGAACTTTCCTCATTCCCAGACACGGACCTGATCGCGGCGTGGGGGCCTCCTGATGTGAAGGAGTCTGCCCTGACTTACTCCTGGCCTAGGCGGTCATGTCACAAGGCAGAGCAGGCTCCCTCTCCCCATGGGGGACCCCTTCCCCCTGCAAGCAGCGCTGCAACCTGTTTCTGTTTCCCCAGGGTGTGATGAGCCTGAGGGGGCCCGGCCAGGTAGGTGTGTTCCTGGCTCTCCCTGCTTGGCCTCTCTGGGCTGTGGCCTCTGGGCTGTGGATCAGGAAGGGCTCTCGGGCCGGCTTAATTGCATCTCCACTCTAGGGAGCTGGCAGTGGGCAGTGCCTGGGAGCCGGAAATAGCCAAGAATTATGTGGGGGCTGCGTGGGAATACATCCACAGCCAAAGGGAAAGGAGTGTCCAGGAGGGCAGGGCTGTGTCCGTGAGCAAGGGGAGGGCGTTGGCTGGCTCTGAGCAATGGCCTGGCCTGCATGCTGGCTCCTCAAGCCTGAGCTAAGTGCTGCAGGCGGGGGCCCCTCTGCTGGGGCTGTCCCCCGCGGCTGCCTCTCTGACGGCGGACAGGAGTTTGGATTGACACCATCAGAGTGAGACTCATCTGATGAGACCGTGGTGACATCATGGGGGGCCAGTTTCCTGGCAGAAGAATCCAGAGACAGCGCCCTTGGTGGAATGGAGGGGGGGCGATGTCCCCAGCTCCTCTGCAGCCTCTCCCCCTTGCTAGCAGGGGCTGTCATGCTCTCCTCTCACTCATGACTCAGCCTAAGTGGGTTCCTCCCCGAAACGTGGCCCTCCTGAAAGGAAAACCAGGCTCTTATTTGTACCATTTACAATTTCTACCACGACAAATTTCAAGCCACCAACATGATGTCAACTGGCTTGCAGTATTCCTGACAATTTAACAATTTAACAAACGTGTGAGCCGGCTCCAGCACTTGGCCCAGCCCCCCCTCCCATCTCCCTAGCCTGCTCTGCAGGTTGTGGGCTCCGCGGGTGGGCGGCTGGCCTAGCAATTCCCAGAATGCCTGCTGGAGGAGCTGCCTGTTGCTGATTAACGCCCAGGCCGCCCTGGGAGAGTCCTGATCGGTATCTGGGGAATGCGGAGGCCTCCGTCTCCGGGCTGCTCTTTCCTTGGTGCCTTCCACCAATGCCGTGCTCCCCCCGTCATGGAGCCCTCTCCCCCAGCTCTGGAAGCCCCAGTGCCGCAGCTCCTGTCCAGGGCAGAAGTCTGTTCTTTTCTGAGATCAGCAGGAGAGCTCTGGGCCTTTTTACAGACATTCTCGTAGCAGCAGTCACCCTGCCTGCTGGCAAATTCCTGCGTCACCCAAGGACTTGGGCGCTTCAGGGGGTATGGGGACTAGACCCTCAGGTTGCCCGGGTCTCTTTCCTTGCCTGTCCAGGGTAGGGTCTTGCCATCTAGTTCCTCCCAACTCCCCCTTCTGGCCCCCATCCCCATCCCGACCTCATTCGACACACATTTTTAGAACACCCGCTCTGGAGTGAGTCCCATAGTCAGCACTGAGGATTTGTTGAGGGAAGGTAACACATTCTTTCCTGTAAGGAGCATACAGTCCAGTGAAATGGTTCTTAAAACTAGTCTTTGAGAATGTGAAAGATATGGACCTATTCCCCTACAAGACATACGTATGTGCTTATAATATTTTTTAATTTTTTTCAAGTTTCGTGACCTCAATTTTTAAAAAGATTTTATTATTTATTTTTAGAGAGAGAGGAAGGGAGGGAAAAAGAGAGGGAGAGAAACATCAATGTATGGTTACCCTTCATGTACCCCCTCACTGGGGACCTGGCCGGCAACCCAGGCATGTGCCCTGACTGGGAATTGAACTGGTGACCCTTTGGTTCCCAGGCTGGCACTCAATCTACTGAGACACACCAGCCAGGGCTGCTTGTAATATTTTTTATATGACATCATGATGTTGGTGGACGCCCATCAGAGGAGCCCTGGTTGAGAACCCAGTTTCCCATGTATGAGGTCCTGGGCCAGCTGAGAGATGGAGCACAGGCTCTGGCCCTTCACCCCAGCTGCTTGTTTAACCAGTTACTAGCTCATCAAATTCCAATGCCGACTGAGGTCAGACTTTCTGTCCTGCCTAAATCCTCAAGTCTGCCAGGCAGTGAAGGCTGCTTTACTGCTGGGGGCAGGTGTGGAAAGAATCCTTTGGAGTCCCTGTGCTCTTCCCAGCATTTTACCCCGCATCAAGGGCATTTTCTCTGCTTTGAGGGGAGTAAGCAAATGACGTCCCTCCCTTGACAGCTTGTGGGAGGAGGTCCGGGGCTCTCTGAAGCCCCAGGTTGTACATGAGGCTGGGCTGGCCAATCTGATCCTTTGCCCCAGTCTGCGCTTCCTCCTCCTGTCCGATCCCATGGGAAGTAAATCGGAGCAAACCTCAGAAGCTCCCCACCCCCTTCCCGCAGTGGCTGGAAGAGACCCAACACCGGGGATCTAGGATAAGGTGTGAAAGAGCGGGTGGCATCCGGCTCTTCAAAATAGACCTGCTGCTGCTGGATGAATTGCACTGTCTCCCCCTCAGATGGCCGTGCAGAGGGTTCGCTGCTTGTAAGTCTGGAGAAATTCTGCCCCAGGCTCTGGAACTCACTGCCTAAAGCAGTCTTGATGACCTAGATACCGGGGACAAACTCAGAAACAGGACTGCGCATACCATGTCTACCAGCATGTCTTCAGTACCCGCCACGTGCTGGGCTCTGGACTGGCATGAGAGGTTCAAAGGTGGACGAGACCCAGTCCCTGTCTTTGAGCTGCTCACAAGCCAGACACATAAACAGTTATACAGGAGAGTCAAAGTGTCATGGGCAATGGTTCCTGCGTGAAGCCATGAAAAGGGACAGCTAACTAGTCTGCGGGAAGGAGGAGAGGACACAGGCTTCTGGAAGGAGATCATGCCTGGGATGAGTCAAGGATTCAGAGCCTAGAGGAGGGAGCAAGATCATCTATAGAGAGAGGCCTGTCTGGCATGAGAAACAGCAGAGACTCAAAGCAGCCTAAGGTGGACAGGGCTGCGAGCACGTCTGTTGGAACTGCGCACGGAGGGAGTCTGGAGAACCCTGGGGGCCATTCCAAAAGACGTAGCCAGCAGGGACTGGGGCTGCCTGGCCCACATTCCAGAAGCCTCTCCAGCCTCTCCACTGACGCTGGCCCCAGCCCCAGGGAACAGAGTCAGAGCCTTGGCAACCACTTTGGAAAAGCGCTGACCGCTGAGTGAAGCAGTCTGACCACTGACTGAGAAGGATCACCAAGGTCATGGCTTATTGAATATAGAGAAGACACTCAGTAAGGCATGGAGGACCCTTAGTCCTCGGAGGGCAGACTCACTGTGTTTCATGGGTTGTGAATGCAGTCAGGATCAGGCAAGTGTGGTCTGGTGTTTCTGGAGAGGCATGAAGGTGGAGATGAAGGGAAGGCCCATGGGGCATGGGTGAGTAGCTCAGCTTGGGGGTCCCTGATCTGTGCCAACCCCCGAGGAACATCTTACCTTGCGGGGGGAAATAGCGTATGTCTCAGGAGCGCCCCTGACAAAGGCTTTCATGACAAAGCCAGATGGTCAGACCACTAAATTGTGACTAGTTATGGACCAACACCACAGAGAGATTACATCCAAATGAGCATTTTCCTACAGCATTAACAACTCTCAACTTCATGTTCTTTGGAATATCCTTAATGAGAAAGAATATGATCCTTAAGAAATGTCCAGAAGTTAGAGGCTAGTGTGGTCAATAATTCTACTAATAACATCATAGAGTGTTGTTAGTGGTCAAAAATGAGACACTGTCATGTAATCAGATGGATTTCCTCGGTGAGGTTTCCCGAATGCATGTGGCCCGGAGGGGCGCTTCTGAAGTAAGCGTGGGCATCTAAGGGCAATTACTTTGAAGGGTATGACTTTTTAAAATTGAGGCGAGACTTATGTAACATAAAATTAACCATTTTTAATTGTACCGTTTGGCGGTATATAGTAGTCATAGTGATGTGTATCTGTATGGAGTTCTAGAATTTCATCCATACCCATACAAACCCGATACTCATAAGCAGTCAGTCTCTGTTTTTGACTCCTCCCAGCCTTTGGTAACCACTAATTTGCTTTCTGTCTCTATGGATTTACCTATTCTAGATAGCTCATGTAAATGGAATCACATAATATGTAACCCTTTGTGACTGGCTTCTTCCATTTAGCATAATGTTTTCAAGGTTCATTCACAATGTAGCCTGTGTCAGTACTTCATTGCTTTTTACAGCTGAACAATATTCCATTGTACAGATATACCACCTTTTCTTTACCCATTCATCTGTTGAGGGACGTTTGGCTTGATTCCACCAGGTTTGATTTTTTTTTTTAAGATTTTATTTATTTTTAGAGGGGAAGGAAGGGAGAAAGAGAGGGAGAGATACATCGATGTGTGAGAGATACCTTGATTGGTTACCTCTCGCATGCTCCCAGCTGGGGACCTGGCCCACAACCCAGGCACATACCCTGACTTGAAATTGAACCGGCAGCCTTTCAGTTTGCAGGCCAGTGCTCAATCCACTGAGCCACACCAGCCAGTGCTTTTTTTTTATACCCCAGCCTAGTTGCCCTGAGAGCCACCTGCCCCTCTTCAGTAACGCCCCTGTGTGTGCAGGCTGCTACCCTGCGGTATGTCTGCATGGGCCGCCCCGGGCCCTGTCCTAACCGGTCCAGGTCTCCAGGCCTGGTGCCTCTCAGGTCCTCAGCCCGCTCCTCTCATTTCACCTTTGACCCACCATGCTCCGTCTGTCTCCACACCCAGGAGATGACAAGTATGGGCGGAAGGTCATTGTGTTCAGTGCCTGCCGAATGCCTCCGAGCCACCAGCTGGACCACAGCAAGCTCCTGGGGTGAGTACCCAGCGGGGAGGTGGCGGGCCTGTGCGTAGGCCCCCAGTTTGGCCTGCTGTCCTTTCCCTTCCCCCGCCCGCTGTGTGGGGGTGCCAGGCCACCTCCCTCAGTGCCTCCCCTCTTTTCCTGAGGGAGCCCTTTTACACTTGGGGGAGTCAGGCCTGGTTTCTAGTCCTCTTTTTCTTCATTTTTCCTAGGGGATAACCACACAGCCCTCCTTCCTTGTAGGAGTGAGATACTGTGTGTGAAAATGTCTTGAAAAGTAATATACTGTCCGAATGTGAGGGCTGATTATCATAGTGGTACGGTGTCTCGTGCCGTTGTAGTCATTCCTCATTTATATGAATAAATTCTGTCTGGATTCTGTTAGACAAATAGATATAATAGCTCTGGTTAGTCTAGAAATCTGATGCAAATCCAGGGGCTGATTGGAAGTGGGAGTTCGGCAAACCCTGCTCCCATAAACATTCATCACTGAGCCATGGCTGCACCTGCCGGGGCCGCCCCGGCGTGTGTGGGACCACCAGGGAGGCAGGGCACTACCAACCTCCTCCTGGTGCTCCTCGCCCTGGGCACACTTACTGCCTCGCACTTCTGTCCCGACCAGATTAAAGCGCTCCCTGAAATTGAAAATGTCTGCACTGCTGGGACCAACTTCTTCAAAACCTGACCGGTTGGTTGGTTGGTTGTGTGGACAGTGAGGTGAGGGGCCAGGACAGCCCAGGGGCACAGCAGGGGTAAGGGCCTGCGTGCTGCCTCTGTGGCCCCATTGAGCCAGGGCCAGGCCCGAGTCCCCCCAGGCCTGGGTGACAACTTTCTCTCTGGCCTCCTGAGCCCCCTCCCCCTCCCCCCACTCCTCAGCCGGGCAGGCAGAGCCTTGTCCGGGCTCACCCGTGGCCCAGCCGGGAACAGGCCAGGGAGCTCAGCCTGAGGGTGGCTGAGTCACATGGCCCTCCTCCCCCGTTTTGCCACAGTTTTAACACATCTGACAAAGCAGGTGACAGGCTCCTGGCCAGATATTGTCTGAGGAGGAAGAAGCCAGAGGCTGGGGATAGGCAAGCACCCAGTTTTCAGGAGTGAGCCTGAGGAGTGAGGTGGCGCCCACTCGGGGGCTTTCTCTGGCTTCAGGAAGCCCTCTGCTGTCGCCCTGTCCTCTGTCCCGCACAGATGTCCCCACCCCCACCTGGTCACAGTCCCTGCTGGAGCCGAGAGGCACATCCATCCTGGATCAGTCCTGTCTCCTTGTTCTCGGTCAGGTCACCTCCAGCTTGGCCTTCCCAGCGGTCCACCCAGTCGGGGGGTTGAAGCAGAAAGGGTCTGAAGCTCGGATGCAGACCGCCCACCAGCTCTGCCGCACCCCCCTTGCTGTGTGCTTGCAGGCAGGTCTCTGAGCCCTATAAAAATAGGAATTGCGCCCACCTCACAGGCTTGCTGTGGGTGCTATGTAAGAGAGAGAGATATATGAAATGCCATTGTATACATGGGTGAAGGGTTACAAGTTTCAAGAATTTTAAACAATGTAGATAGCTATGAAGAAAAAATAAACAACTATATAAAATGTTGCCCATAAACCTATCCCCCAGAGGAAAAAACACTGTTAATATTTTAGTGTATTCACTTTCTGCTTTTTAAAATAACATATACAGAACTCTACCATCAGTTTTGTATCTTACATAATGTTTTTATCTTTTGGTCATTAAACATCCATCAAAGACATCCTTTAAAAATTTTTATTGATTCATGCTATGTATACAAAAAAATGAACCAATTATGTATACTACTTGATGAATTTTGAAAGCCCGAACCCATCCACGTGAGCCCTACCCCCAAACCTGCCTTCACCCCTCTGGTCCTGACCCCAAAGGGCCATCACCGTGCTGACATCTCTCTTCACAGACTAGTTTTGTCTGCAGGAGCATCCTGTGAGGTGTTCTATTTATAGACGTCCTGTGATTTATTTAACCAGTTCTCTGTTGTTGGACTCTTAGCTTACTGCTCAGTTGTTGGGGTTTTTTTTCCATTATAAAACAGGCTACAATGAACAGCCTTCTACAAAAATGTTTGTGTTCATCTCTGCTTTTTTTCTTAGGATAAATTCCTGGACATATTTACAAGGTCAAAGAGTAGGAACATTTTATAGCTTCTAATAGACAACACTTTATTGCCCTCCCAGAGGTTAGAATATCCATCAAAGGATGTGTATATTTTCACTACAATTATTGTTTTATAGTTGCAAAATGCCATCTTTAAAAAAATTTTTTTAATCCTCACTCAAGAATGTTTATTTTTTTAATATTTTAATTTTTTTGTTTTTAAAAAGATTTTATTTATTTATTTTTAGAGAGAGGGGGAGGGAGAGAGAGGGAGAGAAACATCAACATGAGAGAAACATCAATCACTTGCTTCCCATACACAGTCAAGATCGAACCCGCAACCTAGTTATGTGCCCTGACCAGGAATCGAGCCCTTGACCTTTTGGTGTAGGGACAATGCTCCAACCAACTGGGCCATGCTGCCAGGACTTTCTTTCTTTCTTTTTTCTTTTTTTAAATATAGTTTTATGTTGATAGAGTGAGACAGATGCTGTTTCTATCACCTGCAAAATCATTGTCTTTTCAAATCAAAAATACGTATTGAGCTTGCTTGTGCTGGCGGCCAGAATGGCACCCGGTGTCAGACTGGTGCGGTCAGTCAGTTCAGCAACCTCAGTGCCTGAGTTCTGGCTAAGAGAGAATTTAGAGCCAAGACTCAAACTGTAAGAGGAAGCTTATTTAGGAAGTCACAGAAGTAGATGTGAGTTCTACTTCTAGAAGAAGAAATGGGCTCAGGGAATGAGTTATACAAAGGCAAAGAAGGGCCTTTGGAGCTTAGGGGAAAGACGGAAGGAAAAGCGCCTGAGGGGAGGGGGGTGGGGAAAAGGGCGGGCGTGCTGCACCGAGAGCGCCCCGCAAAACGCCTCCTTTCTGTGACAGACCTTTGCAAACTGCAAAGTGCTCAATGTCTTTAAGCGGTAAATCACTGTGTAGTAATAGTGATTGGAATCACAACAATAATTCATTCCTAGACACCTCCTATGCTCCTAGCACCCACGGACCACTGTGTAAGTCGTGTTCTCTAGGTTAGATCAGGTGGTATGTGGGCATTTAGTCAAATCCTTGGGCCCTTCCCCACGTTCCTTGCCCCCTTCCCTACTACCTCCCTTGGAAGCCCTTAGCCTCCCGGCCTCCAGTGGTGGTCTAGCTGAGGCCTGGGGCTGGCTAACCAGAAAGAGGGCATTCCACTGGGCTCCCCCCTTTCTGGAATTCTTGGTTATTTTCTTCATATCTCTCCACCTCAGGTGGGCGCCACACTATGTGTGTGTTTCCTTGGGGTGGGAGATACCATGTTGTGAGCATAGGGATGTCAGATGTCGCTCTTCGGTCCACAAAAAGCCCAGTGATTGGAGCAGGGAAGGGGACCCTCTGGCCACCCCACCCCCTCTGGTGGGCAGTGTTTTATCGCCTGCACTGGGAGCCCTAGCATGAGGGTAGGAGCTGCACTGTGGTCAAGAACACAGGCTTTGGAGCTAGACAGTTCGCTCCCAGGCTCCACCATAGGCTCCGTGACCTTGGATAAGCACTGGACCTCTCAAAGCCTCATTGCCCTCACTCGTAAGGAGAGGATAATATCAGCCTTGATTGTTATGAGGAAGACACGAGGTAATGTGTGCAAAGTGCCTGGCAGACACTATAATTTAATATTGATAAATGGTGACAGTCGTTATTACTGACTCGGCACATGCTATTCCCTTTACTGCAGCTGGGTGAGAGGGCTCCGCTAGAGTCCTGGCCTCCTGACTTGCAGTCAGTGCTCAAGCCTGAGAGCTGTTGTTATTGTTGCTCCGCTCAGCCCAGCCACAGCCCCTCCTCAACAACGTGGCAGCTGGTGATGCAGCCATGATAGACAGTACAGGGTCAGGGGCTCATGGCAGGGCCCGGGGGTGGGGGTGTGATATAAGCAGGAGACTTCTGGGACACCCGGCTGTGCCTTAAGGGGCCCCACTTGCGTGCAGGGCAGGCCTGAGCAGGTCTGTTCTCTTGAAGGTACCTGAAGCACACCCTGGACCAGTATGTGGAGAGCGACTACACGCTGCTCTACCTGCACCACGGCCTGACCAGCGACAACAAGCCCTCCCTCAGCTGGCTCCGGGACGCCTACCGGGAGTTCGACCGCAAGTGGGTGGGGGCCCCGGGGCCGGGCTCCAGGGCCTGGTGGCAGGTGGCTCTAGAGCCAGCAGCTCTGTCAGGTTCTGGGCTGCCCCCTGCTTGGGCCAGAGCTCATTCCATGCCAGGGGGAGCCAGGCACCCACACCCGCGTAAACGCAAAGAATCTGAAGTTGGAATGTTCTGGGTGTAAATCCCAGTTTCTCTGCTTACCCAGGCTGCGACTTTCATGTTACGTAACCTCTCCGAGCCTCTGTTTCCCCGTCTGTAAAAATGGGGCAATGACTCTTCACAGGCTTGCCTGAATAGTCCAATCAGAAAATGTCCACTGTGAACCTAGCCCTGAGGCTCCCCTGCCACGCCCCCCTGAGTGCCCGTTCTGCCTCCGCAGGTACAAGAAGAACATCAAGGCCCTGTACATTGTGCACCCCACCATGTTCATCAAGACCCTGCTCATCCTCTTTAAGCCCATCATTAGGTGAGCAGGCCGAGGGTGGGCCAGTGCTTCCCCTTGAACTCTGATGCAGATGCCAGAGGAGGGCAAGCATCCTGGGGACAGACCCGTGTGGCGCGAGGCCCCTGTGTGGTCTGGGCGGGGTGCTGCGGGGACACACTGGAGGCCTGCCGGAGCCGGTGCCCTTCCCAGCCCTCGCCCTTTCTTCCCTCCATCTGCAGCTTCAAGTTTGGGCAGAAGATCTTCTATGTGAATTACCTGAGTGAGCTGAGCGAGCACGTGAAGCTGGAGCAATTGGGGATCCCTCGCCAAGTGCTCAAGTGAGGCCGGGCAGGGACTGTGTGTGCCCACTGGGTGGCATCTGTGTGCGCGTGTCCTGTTTGTCGGGGTGGGACACGACCGCCAAGGGGCAAGAAAGCCTTGAGAACTCCAGGGCTAACGGAGGAAGCAAATGTAACAACGAAGAGACAGCATGGGGGCAGGGGTCAGAGAGAGTGAGTTCAAATTCCACTTCTGTCACCTAAAAGCGGTGTGACTGACTCTCTTTAAAGTCTTGCCTTTCTCATGTGTAAAGCAGGGATGTTAGGAGGGTTGAATAAAATGAACCGTGTAAAATAGCACAGTGAGTGCCTGACAAACAAGAGTTACCATAGTGACCACAGCCTGGCAGAGGGCCTGACCGTCCCGTCTGCGCCCCCAGGTATGACGACTTCCTGAAATCCACACAGAAGAGCCCCGCCACAGCCCCCAAGGCTATGCCACCACGGCCCCCTCTGCCCAACCAGCAGTTTGGGGTCTCACTGCAGCAGTGAGTATGAACCGCGGGCGCCTGGCACCCCTGGCCTGGGATGGGCTGCAGGCTCTGCTCACTGCCCTTGTCCCCACAGCCTCCAGGAGAAGAACCCGGAGCAGGAGCCCGTTCCGCTCGTGCTCCGGGAGACCGTTGCCCACCTACAGGCCCACGGTGAGTGCCAGGGCCCGCCTGCCTCCAGGGCGCACCAGCACCCCCGCTGGCCCTGACTGGAGCCCCAAGACTGGATGGCGGGCGGGGCGGGGTGTCTCCACGATGCCTCTGAGCTCTGAGGCTCACCAGGCCCCACTGTTTGCCAGCTCTCACCACTGAGGGGATTTTCCGGAGGTCCGCCAACACCCAAGTTGTACGGGAAGTGCAGCAGAAGTACAACATGGGTGAGTGGTCCGGGGATGTGCCCAGGCACCTGGGCCGGTACAGAGCGCACGTGTGAGGACTGGGGGTAGAGGGTGGAGGGGGTGGGGTTGGGGGCATGTGTGTGACTGGGGGCTTTGCCGTTTTTTGCTGCCCTGTAAACAAGGGTCCCAGAATCTGTCCCCGTCAGAGGTTTTGTGGCATTTGGTATAACCACATGGGTCCCACTCCCGCCTGGCTATTCCAGGCCTGCTCCCTCGTGGGTCGGGCTCCCGGGTCCCGGGTTCCAGTTCTTTTGAAGACAGGGAATAACCATGTGTGCTGGGGACCCCGCTCCACCCAGACGGCCTGAGCCTGCACCCCCTGGTCGCAGAAGAAGAGGGGAGGCTTGTGGAGGGGCTGCTGGCCTCTGGGCTAGGCCCAGCTCCTCTCCACCCCTCCCCCACCCCCACCTCTAGGGCTGCCTGTGGACTTCGACCAGTACGATGACTTGCACCTGCCAGCGGTCATCCTCAAGACCTTCCTCCGGGAGCTTCCTGAGCCCCTGCTCACCTTTGACCTCTACCCCCATGTGGTGGGCTTCCTCAGTGAGTGCCCTGTCCCCCTCCCCAGCTCCAAGCTGCTTCTGCTGGGTCTGTGCTGGACTCGGAGCAGGCGGGTCTGGCCCTTCCGCCCAGGAAGGTCTGGTGGGGGTCTCCCCTCTAGTCTCGCGAGAGGGCTTCCTGCATCCTGGGCCCTCGTTTCTCATAGACATTGATGAGAGCCAGAGAGTGGAGGCGACGCTGCAGGCCCTTCAGACGCTGCCTGAGGAGAACTACCAGGTGCTTCGGTTCCTCACTGCCTTCCTGGTGCAGGTGAGACTACTGCTCCCCTGAAGACGGGGGCGGGGCGGGGGCGGAGCTCCAGCAGGCGCGGGAGGCCGGGCCTGTGGCACCCCGCTGCAGCCCTCTGATCCCCCTCCGCAGGTGTCTGCCCACTGTGACCAGAACAAGATGACCAACACTAACCTGGCTGTTGTCTTTGGCCCTAACCTGCTGTGGGCCAAGGACGCGGCCATCACTCTCAAGGCCATTAATCCCATCAACACCTTTACCAAGTTCCTGCTGGATCATCAAGGGGAGTTGTTCCCTAGCCCTGCCTCCTAGGGGCTCTGAGCCCAGCCCCTGCCCACCAGCCCCCTTCTCTGATCGCCCCAGCGTGGACTCTTCCTCCTGGCGCTGGGGAGCCCAGGGCTCCTGCCCAGGAAGGGGTCATGAGGCCCCGGAAGATAGAAGCTGAGGCCAGCTGAGGGGGCAGCTCCTCTCCCCTCCTTCCCAGCCCACCTCACGGGTCCCGGAGGCCTCACCGTGACCACGAGACACTTCTCTTGGCCTTATACTTCTGCCTCCTTGGATCCCTGGTTCCTGCGGGGCTGTGCAGAGCTGGCTTTGGCTCCTCCAGCGGGAGGACTGGCCCCAGCAATCCCTTTCCTGCTTTCTCCTGCCTCTTTCCCTGGCAGCTGCCGATGCCAAAATCACTGCCGGCTGGGATGCAGCTGGGGCTGGTGTCCCGCCCGCCCCCACCCATTGCTGGGGAAATGGAAGGCTGAGCTGGCTTCGGGCCTGCCGAGGCTCCTCCCGGTCTGGGTGAAGGCCTGGGTACAACTCCCCGCTCCTATCCTCCCCTCTACCGGCTCAGCCGTGGGTATTTCCACAGCTAAGGAATTACAGGCTGGAGTCTGCTTCCTGTTTCTGCCTTCTCCACAAATCCTGGTCAGCCTTTCCCAAGTGGTACTGCCCGCAGGATGTTCTGACCCCCTGCTTCTGCCAGGCCTGGCAGCTTGGATGACACGGCATTGGAGATAGATGCCACTCCCACCCGAGAGAGACCCCTAGTGCCTGATCAGACTGGTGGGCTTGGCCTCCGAGTCTCATCTAAGGCTGGCTGCTAGGCGGGAGGCCCTCCTGGCAGTCATGTCTGTTGTGGAGTCACACTGGTCTGACCAGAAGTGACTCGGTGCTTCAGGATCTGTGGTGGCTCTTTCCCTCAATCCTGCTGGGGACGCCTGGAGGGGCTGGGCAGAGATTTTGCTAGTCGGATTGACCAGGACCCTGTTGTCTTTCAGAAAACCTGGACCCCAATGATAATGGCGCTCCCTCATTCCAGTTGTGCCCCTTAGAATTACACTCCTTGGTGAACTCTGGCGACGCCCCCACTCCCCTCGCAGCCTTGACCTCAGGTACTAGGGACATTCCTGCACAGTGGCCCTGTCCCCGCAGCCTTGGCCAGAGCCTGGACTGTGTGGGTCTCACTGACCAGCCCAACTCCGTTTGGGAGCTGGGTGGAGCCTGGTTCCTGACCTCATGGGCTCCCTCCCAGGCGCTGGCGTGTCAGGGCTCACAGTACTTGGCATAGCTGCTGGGCCCGTCAGTCCCTGTCTCTATAGCTTGGGTCCAGGCCTCCGCTTTGCGCCCTCCTTGTATATCAGGTGTTCACAGCCCCACTTACTGGGGAGCCTGTGGATCTATGTGGTCTTTCCCCTGTCCCGTCCTACTGGTCAGTACCTGGGGGGGGGGGTTGTACTGGGAATCAAGTGTTCACATTCACACTTAATGACTTCCTTGGCACCAATCATGTATTTCACCTTTGCACTTTTTGTATTTCAATAAAAACGGAGATGGAAACTGCCCATCTGGCTGGCTGAGAAGTGGGCACAGGGGCCCAGCACTGGGCGGGGATGCGGTGAGTCTGCGGAGGGAGAGCCAGGAGTTGGGGGGTGTCGGGGAGACCTGGCCCCGCCCTCCTGACCCCCTTCCTCATCTGTTCACTTGCGAGTGGGTATGAAGCCAGCTTTCCGATTGCCTTCCCAGTGTGAAGTCACCTTGCATCTTGGGCACCTGCAGCATTCCAACCAGCCGCCATATGCAGCAGCCTATGACCAGGGCCTCTTCTGTCCCCCAGATGGAGTGGGCTGTGGTGGCCGACATCCTGAGTCAGACAGGGTTTGAATCTTAGTTCCCCATCCGTCGCCACCAGGTCTCACTGGTAGCGCATTTATATGGCCGCACCTCAGACAGTTCCTTCCTGTCTCTGAGGATTAGTAATGTACACACTAACAGCAGAGCACCTGCCCAGTGGTAACTAGAATGACCATCATTTCACAGGTGAAAAAGTGCTCGTCCCAGCCTGCGCGGCAGCTGGGACTGAAACCCTCTCCCTTCCACTCCGCTCCTCCCCCACCTGCCCTCTGCCTGAGCCCAGCCAGTTCCCACTGGCCACCTGCTCACACAGAAATCATGAAAGATCCTGTTTTCCTCTTTTGAAGTTGTGCTTTGATTTAGAGGTTAAGATGGTTAACACTTCGTGTATTTTACTGCAATTTCTGAAAAGTGGTTTGCCACTGAGAGGGCTGGCCAGAATTTCACTAAGCACAGTGGTCAAGTTCAAGCCATTAGCTGCTTGCCTGCCACTGGCAACCGGCAGGCAATGGTGGCCTCCGCTGGGCCTCTTCTTCCTCATCATCGCTTGCTGGGGCTCGAGCAGCTGGGCCAGCGCTCAGCATCAGGCCATGCTGTTAGGAGGGTGGTTCTACACACAGGCACCGCGCTCCCGGAAGTAGCCCTGCTGCACGACTGCGGCCCTCACCCCGGCAGCTCAGGCAGAGGGCACTGGCCGCCTCCCTCACGGGCTCTCCTCAGCTCTAAGCTGGCTGGCTGTTTAGAACTGAGGGGCCGTGACCCAGGGCGACAGGAAGGCAGCGCGAGACGGGGAGGGAGCTGTTTACTTGGGTTGGGCTCCTGGCAGGGCCTCTGCTGACTCAAAAGCCAGTCGGGGCCTGCCTTACCAACAGCAGGTCTCTGGGGATGGAGTGGCGGGAGATGCCAGAGGGGCAGGACGCCATTGCCAGACCTAGGGACACTGAACACTTTGCTTCTGGGGGATCCCAAGGGACGGTGAGGACACCAGGGGATGTCTCGCCACCATTTCTAACCCAGGGGTTTACCACCACTATCCCCAGCTGGCTGTGTGGTCAGGCACCTCGGTTAGTGTCCTGTGTGGTTTACTAACAAGCAAGGGCTGCCACAACCCGTAAGAGTGGCAGTGGGTGGGCTCCATCCTTTTCAGCCTCAGGTTTGGGCTGAGATGAGCATTTCCCAACTAGCCCTTTTCTGTTCTGGGCCCAGGCTGAAAGGGATGGGGAGGCAACCCAGATGCCCAGACAGCTGCCGAGGTCTGTCAGGCACTTGATTTCTTGCTCCTACAACTGCCTCTGCCTCTGCCACACTGGTTCCGCTTCAGCTCCCTGCCCCCACTGTGGGCACGGACCAGGAGGCAAGAGGCGCTCCGCCGGGCGAGATGCCTGCGCAGAAGTGCCCAGGGGGCTGGGCAGGAATAATCCCGCAGGTCTCTTCTACTTTGCGTGGCCCCCCAGAGACCATGCCAGTGCCCTGGGCAGCTAAACCAGCTGGCACGGGCCCTTGCCTTCCTGCTGCTCACTCAACCCCTTCCCTTCAGTCTGCATTGCTCAGCCGCAACCTCTCAGACTGATCAGCAGACAGGTCCTGGGCAGCTTGGGGAGCCCCACACTAGAAACATGCAGAGACCCGTATCCTTTTCTCTGAGCCTGAGGCCATCCGTCACCTCCAGGCCAGGATGAAGGGGGAGCTACATGGCGAAGGGGGAATGGAGAGCAGGCAATGGAGATTTCACAGTAAGTTACTACATAGGCACGTCTACCTCATACACATCATCTCACTGAAGATTCACATAAAAGCCCCTGGAATGAGAACATTATAGCCCAGGGAAGTGAGGCTCTGAGAGGTTTCCTGGCCTGCCTCAAGACCCCAGACGGCCTGCCAGACACAAGAGCGCGTGCTGCACATGGCATCGCTCTTCCCCTTCCGCGGGGCCAGTCGGTGACTGCATCTGCACACAAGCAGGAGGCAGTGGGCTAGGATTTTAGACAATGTGTAGGACAGGAAGCTGTAAAGTACAGAAAAAAATTTATTGGAAATCTCTTGAATACATTTTTAAAGTATAACTCAGTATTTCCAAACAAGGTAGGCTGAGGAAGGGGAGGGGCGCTGTCACCTAGAGACAGATGACCGCTCCCAGCCCCACGCCCGCAGTCAGTCCAGGGCTCACGCCTTCCCCTTTACAGGGCTGAGGGCAAGGGCCGGCCGTGACAATCGCTCTGCTCCTCCCAAGGCTCAGCTCAAGGTCAATGCTCAGCCCGCCTGGCCTCTCCCTGAAGGGATCCCGAAGAAAGGCTGCTGCCTGCACAGGCCAACTATTAGAAGTCAAAGAGGACAACAGCTAACACGAACAGGCCTTTCCATGCTTGGCCTCAAAAGGAGGGCAGTGGCTGAGACACTGGGGGTAAATCTGGTTGGTTTAGCCGGCCACCGGTGTGCTCTACCCCAAGGACAGGAGGGCCAGCTGGACACCACTGCTGGGCACATTTCTCTGTGGCAGCAGAGCACGCGCACAGGGGCAGGGCTCAGCCTGATGGAGACAGCATGAGAGCCCACCGAGGACCTCAGAGGTCAGCCTGGTAGGTGGGAACGATGTCACATGCAACTAACAAGCAATTGAGGGCCACATGCGCCACTGCAGAACAGATGCTCCCAATGAATACCCCAGGTGGACCAGGAGGAACGGGGCAGGCCCAGTTTTCCACGGCCACGACTACCAGTTAGGCCGGGAGAGGGACAGGTGGCTTAGGTGGGTGAAGCTAGGCACCTGGCTTACTCAGGTAACACCACCCAAAGGGTTCGGTCGATCATATGCCCGGCGTTAGTTTCTCAACAAGGAACCAATGCAACCAGTTAACCTCAGGGCAGTACACAGACCCCGGGGTTAAAGGAAGGTGGTGGCCAGGCCCAGGGGAAAGGAGGGAAGGGCCCATAACCCAGCCCTGAGAAACAGGAATAAGTACCCCAGTAGGATGGGCCCCCCTGGACTCCCCCAGGCTCACCGGTGGGCACTGTATGTGGCACAACTCCAGGGAGTTGCCACATTTAGCACTCAAGGCTTCCTGGGCTGCCAGAACAAAGTCAGTCACTCTGCAGAAGCTGAGCGATCCAAGGCTCTCACCAGAAATACGGAGGCGTCCAAGGTAGAGCCTGTTGTCAGTTCAAACGAAGCAAGCCTGGGAGGGTCTGTCGCCCCCGCCAGCCTGTGTTGGCTCCCACCTTACGTGCATGGGAAGGAAGGTCCCCAGAGCAGCAGCCTGGACTCTGAGGAACCTCCACAGGAGGAGGTCCCGCCCCAGGAGGAGGCCCATCACCTTCCCCAAGTGAAAACATCTAATCTGAAACATATTTTCTCTATAAAATATCTGTCTTTGAAAGTAATAAATATTTACCATGTCCTATAACCAAGGAGCAGCAATGGGGAGGGGAGAGACGAGAAGAGCCACCATGTACTATGACCCCAGGCCCAGAAACACAGGGCTGTTTCTGCAGGGCCGGGAAGCCGAGCACAGGCAGCCGCCAGGGCTGCCCAGGCCTTCTGTTAAGGGAGGGGCTGGCACAGCCTTTGGGAGGCGGGGGATGGCTGACTTCAGAGTTCTCATCTTGGGCAGAAGGCGTCATATTGCCAAAAATACAGGCACAGGGGCAAAAGGAGGGAGAGAGGAAGAGGATATAGAACTAAAGGAGACGACGAAGACAGCCTGAAGAAGCACTTCCTTCTTCCTCCCACAATGTCTCCTTCCTCTTTCTGCCCCCATACTAGTCTCTGGGCCACCAGCTGGAATGTCAAATGGTTGGTGGTAAGAGTGGGGCGGGCAGGCAGGCAGGGGAGGGGCCAGCTGCAGGGCAGGCCTGGGGCGGGGGCCCAGCAGCAGGAGGACGAGATGGCAGCCTCAGGAAAGCAGCTGCTGATGGGCAGTGGAAGCAGACGGCCCTGCAGACGGCCCCTTTGCTGCAAAAGGTCTTCCCATCTCCAAGGCCAGAGGGCGAGCCCTTTCTAATGCTCTAACTAGGCTTGACTGCTGCCACGGAGAATCCAGGAGGTGAGAGCAGGGGTCTCTGGGTCCCTGTGGGGGAAACCAACCTCCCTCCACCTGGCTTGGAGCAGGACGAGGGACGGGAGCAGCTGATGAGTAGGAGGCTCTCTGTCTCCTGGGACCACGAAAGGGGGTTGCTGCTGGTACTCGAGGGCACCAACTTTTACTGCAGGGTTTCTACAAAGGCATCAAATTCTCGGACATTCTTCTCGTGCACAGCCAGCTTCTCTGGGAGTGAGTCCTGTACCAGGAGGGGAGAAAAGAGTTGCTCATTCAGGCAGGGCCTCGAAGAGGCAGCCAGCCCAGCCACCCTGGCCTGAACGAAGAAGGGAGCACAGCACGAGCTCGGCTCAGCAGTGCTGGCTGATAGCACAGGAGAATTCAGGGCAGCTGAGTAGGCAGCAGAGAGAGGGCTTCAGGGTTTTGTGGGGGCTAGAGAGGGGTGTTGATAGGGCAGCCTAGGGAATCCAAGTGGCCCACGCACTTAGTGAGCTAGAAAAGGACCACACCAACAATGAAAGATTTCTTCACACCCTGTGCTGGGCACCAGCACCCCCTGGGAGGCCCATGAACAAGGCAATCCCAACCGCACTCCTAAAATACCCTGACTCAGCAGGTCTGCGGTGAGGCCTGGGAACCTGCATCTCGACACCAGTGGA